ATGTCTCAAATAATTTACGTAACGGTTTGAGAAAATGAGAGAGATATGCTTTTCTATTCGAATTGTGAAACATAATGTAGCTCCTTTAAAATTGCCACGACGTAACTCGGCCTCAATGCAAACATCTATATGAAATTAAGTTCCACCAATATGAAGGTAATGAAATAACCTGAAAAAAGATACCAAACATCATGTTCTTGCATTTTCGGATATTACACAAATTATGCAAATTAACCCATGTACAGTTTCGTTTGCGTATTAGTGTATTTTCGGCAAATACTAAGAATAGTTTTGTATTTGTTTGTTAGCTTATTTTTCAATTCAATATGTTCTTAAAAAGGCGGCCTGTAATGAACACTATTTATCAGATCATAAGTACCATCTTAAAAAGATAATGTGACTTATACCAGTATGCTGACATGCATGCTTGCGTTTAACATTATATATGGCGTTAATCCAATGTAAATGTTTACAGGATTACAGGAGTTTTTATGATTGAAACACTCATATAAATTTCTAATATTAATAGATGATACATTGACTGTACACACAGCCTTTTACTTTTCAAAAACCGAAATTGATGATAAAAGACACTTCAATGTGTCATCGTTTAAAGCCGAAATATAATGTTACATTTTATTTCATTTATGGGATATTTGATATTTAGTTTAAAATTTCACTATTATCTGAAAAACTTAAAACATCTTTGTTGTAGATCAATTATTTTACATTGCTTTACATAATTTACGTTGCAAGAGATATGAGAGTAAATATCAATATTATTTACAAAATTGTTGCATTGTTTTTGCTCCTTAAGGAAGTTGTTCTCCTGCTCATGTTTAATTAGAGAGTTGATGATTTAATGTTTCTGAAAATTACAATTATACTTATCAAAGAAGGGTAAATTGGTTGATACTTTTATAAATTCAAACCTTTACATATATAATTAACAATTTACATGCCTTATGGGTATACGAACAGTACATTTATTACTGTAAGAGCTAGCCCCTATTACTTTGAATAAATAAAACAAAAAGTTCATTCCTTTATATTGTTGTATTTAAACCAGTTATCCAATATTTTTTTAAAGTGCGATATTTTCAATTTGATAGAAAACAACATAATTATATAAATGCTACGCTTTTCAGCAAAATACTTTAGAATACAAAGTTTAGCATGATGATGTGGGGGACCAAGTGCTTCTCTGAAGGTTATGGCTATTGTAACTGGCTCGTGTAGTATATCTTGAAAAATAACATAGATATAAGAGCACTGAAATGAACTTGAACTATCACTGGAATTGATTCTACATTCCATCCGCCACCTTGACTATTTGAAAATTAACATGTCTGAAGACATATTTGAGCTGGGCCAATATATGTTTTATCTGTGATATATATAATAATTACAATTAATTGCCTTGCTAATGAGTATAATCATCTGCTAGCTAATATTTTGGTAAAAAGAAATAAAAGGGGAGATAACCAAGTAAAAAATATGATAGTCTTCTGAAACCATTTTGAATTAAAAAGAAGTTAAGTATGTTAAACTACCTTTCAGAGTTATCAAACTTAAAACACACACTGCATTATGATATTGCATTGATATTTCATGTTGACCGATTCCTGAGACGGGATGGGAAAACATAAAGTTGAAGCCAGTTAAATTAAAATAAAAAAATCAAATATAATGTCAAAGTACACATCGGTTTGATTTGATTCAACATAAAACATAGTAAGTTACATCAACTTGAAGGGATATCCTTATAAATTGTTGTGTCCAAGTATGAAGACAATCATTTTTAAATACCTATAAGCAGACATTGGTGTAGTCATACCTGCCGTTGCTTCTTCGTCAATATTAGGAGGAGCACTTATCTTCGGACATAGTTAAACTTTGATATCTGAATGAGTTATGCTTATTGTGTTTATATACATAAACCTTTCACAAAAGGTGAACATCCAAAGAATAAATATGTTATTTAGTTTAAACATATTTATTAAAGCTCGATTGCAAAACTAGCTCTTACAAGTTACGTCAATCACTTTTGAGTCCGCTTCCTGGAATAATGTAACCAACCAGTTACACGATGGTCCATGTGCACTAGGGACAACTTCCACTACACGAAGCCAAGAAGTAGTTCTCCACGGAAGCCAAGTAAAATATTATTTTCAGTTTAAGATAAATTTTTTGGAGACATATTGTTTTAGCCTTCGCCATCTGTCTGTCCGTGCGTCCGAGCTTACATATGGATACTTATGTGGCAAGAGGGACAATAGTAACTGTACCTTTTCTTTGATGTCATTCATCACGTAAGGCTTTTATGTGGTTGTGCATATCGTCGACACATTTCGCTTCGCTGCACGAAATTGCCGCCAGAGTTATATATAGAAAAATCTTGTACGGCTTTCATAGGTTAAACTGCTGGTGGGATTTCGATGAAACTTTACAGAAGTGATCTATACCATTCCTATAAGTGCATATGGCCGGCAAGTTTCCGCTTTACTGCACAAAATGGCCATCAGGGCTATAAATAGAAATATGTTGTCCGGCTTTCAATTGTCAAACTGCTGGCGGGATTTCGACCAAAAAATCACAAGAGTGATCAGTACCATACCTAGTTTTGGGTGTTTTTGTGACAAAAACCCCTTATAGTTTCATACTGCATTCGTCAGTAGTTCATCTTTACAAATGAGTCAATAATTGCTTGTTAGTAAATATAACAACTTTTTGCTAACGAATTATGAAATGAATTAATCATCTACAGTAATTCATGTCAGTAGTAGTTCTTTGAATTGATTTCATGAATATGCACACGAGGATAACATTTTCGTGATGTATTCTTGTATAATTTTTGATAACTTAATTGAACCTTTGTTGTACCTTTTGGTCTCAAAGGATGAAACATAATTAAAAGTAAAATAAGAAATAAGATAAAGCACTCACTCCGAATGTAATGTTAGCGCTTCGTGTATGACAAACTGTATTCTGATAGCTATATTGGGTTTTACATTGATTTTCGGTGTTTCAGATAGTCTTAGATTTTCAGTGAGTCTTGCTCAGCCATAGAGAATGTCAGCCGGCATACAATGAAAAGCTTTGTGGTACTGACGGTAGAACATACCGCAATTTGTAAGTGCTTCTGTGACCTTTATTTCTTTTGATACAATTCTGTTAAATGTATCTTGAATTCAACATGTTCATTGCAGTTTTCATGGTCTACTTTCCTTAAACGGAACCAACATAAATTGTATTTCCATCTCAATAATCCTAAAACCTGATGAGTTTAGTAAATTGTTTAAAGTGCTAAAGTAAATTTTAAAATAGCTTTATTCTTCGCAATCCATTTAAATTCATGTTTGAATACTGTAACTGAGTTATTTTTGCCTCATGTCCAGACAAAATTAAAACATGCAAACTGATTGAGCTGGCAATAAGAACGAATTTCTTTGAATGTTGTTTAGAAAATGTATTTCATACATTCTATACATATCAATATATACTTATTTCAGTTGCGAATACGAAAAGGCGAGATGTACACACAGAGATCTTCACGTTGCCAAATTTGGAGACTGCAATGCTTAATTTTGAAATGCATATTGTATAGTTTTAGACATTCAATATAGATCAAAGAAATGCTAATTCATTTCGTTTTTTGTTGCAATATATTTTCTCAAAGTGCTCCAAATACAGTGTTTTCACAAGATAAGAAATAAAATCTAAAAAGTTTCAAAATACAAATTACCTTAAGGTGTTCTCATTTGTATACCAGATTTATTTAATTCGATCGACAACCTTGATACTTTGTATACCTCTTTGTTGTGAAACAATATCTATTTGAAATGAGAAACCATTTATTAGACATCAGACATACTTTGGATGTTTAAAGCGAGTTTATTGTAAATTACAAAAAACATGATTAATATTTGCGTTCTAGCATGCCATTCTTATAGGCAATGGTGTTACTCAAAACTGCGTCTGTTATGATAAGATATTGCGGTTGTCTGCAACTTATAAAGACGTGTTTATTGTTAGTTTTAGTTACTAGTATGGTAGTGAAGCGAGTCCTTTCTGCAAAAAGGCGTAAGATATATCAATAATTATCTCCCCCATGTATCAAAAATACTCATTTAGTATCAGGATGTTTTCTTATTCTAGACATCATCATCTATTCATTTGCTTTAAAGCGACCTTATAGATTTAAATAAACAAAATAAGCAGTTCATATTTTGAAAAATGCTTTAAAAGGTGTTTCAGCAATTACCTAATCAATATCTTGGCTTAAAAATGGGATGAATACACGACAGGACATGTTGTCGCATTTGATAATTTTGACGTTATTGCCGCTTACAGTACTGTAGTCTGCTATGTTGTTGACATCAGTTTCATTGTTGTTGACGCAGCAAGTTTGGATAAATGCATTGATATACAATTTTAAATATTTTGGTTTTTCAGAGCAAGGTTCTCCGGGGAGAAGATTTAGAGTTTATCAGACAATACTCTCATTTACTTGCATATTCTTATGACATATTTCCCAGCTTTAGCTAAACCTATACAGTTATATACTGTATAGTTATTGACATGGTAGCTGTAAGGATGTTTGTATTATTCAGCAATACTAGAGTTCTTCCATAGAGGAGTCTACAATGTTAGTTTTTCTTTTCATTTGATCGCGTGATTTGTCCTGGCCTTACTTCGAACAGTCAGTGATCATCCCTTGCTTTTTTAAAATAAATGTTTTGCTTCACATTGTAAAATATGACAATCGAATACCGACAAGTTTAAGCGCGGACGTCTGCATGCGTCTGCATGCCTCGTGATTTGTCAACATACACAAAGAAGAAGGAAAACGATTTTTTCTCGTAAGGGATTACATATAAAAGCGGCAGTTCTTTTTGTATTTTCTGATCACAGATCAGGAAATACAATGCTGACATCCAATCCAGGCACAGCGCTTTCCGACAAACCTAACCAGTAGTTCTCAAAACATCTTAAAACTAGCGATGTTAAGGAAAGAAATATTCTTATTTTGTTACAATTATCCAACAAATTTACAACGCATTCAATGTTTAAAAGTAACTTTGGCTTATAGAATTATCAATAGATGCACAATAAAAATTTCGCGGATGAATATCATTTTATTCAATAAAATATGCTCAGCTATATCCGTAAAGCTTCGGATTATTGTGATTGAAATAAAACGACCCAAAATGAACTTTTGTTATTTAGACTTTCTGAAAAATAAATTAAGGATGTTGACTCTAGGAAAGGGACGAATTTAGGGCATGCGACGATCGACAATCAATTTCGACCATAAGTTCAGCACCTGATAATTTAATCCACGTAAACACAATGTTTTTTTATGCTCTGTCAATTACCGAAGACTTCTTTGCGTATAACACAAATAAATCTGAGCAAATATATACATGTTGGACTGTTTGGGCGGGAATATTTTAGCTAAATCATTAACATCAGTGATAAACAAGAGGTTTACATAGAAATTTATAAGAATTACAGACCATAAATTGAAATTCTAAATTTAGAATAATATTGTTCTATTCATATAACATCACCGTGGCCCAGGGATTATACGCTCGTATATAAGTGACAGGTCTGGAGATCAAATCCCAGTCGTGGCAACTACATGTATATTTTAGTCTTTTTAGTGATTTTAACATTCTTAGGAATTAGCCAGACTATGCAAGGATATAGTGTGGCTGTCATAAAAGATTAACTTTAATGATTTTATGATGCAAGTAGAAACTCTGGTCATGCAAAATTCCGCATGTATCAATCTCAAACTGTTACAGCAAAAAATCTAAACGCATGCACAGTCTCTGCAACTCGGTGCCCTGCAAGATGAATTATAGTATTTCAAAATAAACTAATACAGGAATATACATACAGATATACAGTACAATTTAGATTGCAAAGATCAGAAAATACCACAGAGCTTGCAGCCCTTTGATTTATACATGTTCTTTGTCCGATAATATAGATTAAGCTTTTTAAATCAAAAATAATAACACATTCTACTGACATTTTCCATGCTAATTATGTTGCCTTTTCACGTGATAATAAACTAACATCACATAATTTATACTGGATTTATTTATATCATTTGATATGACTTATGTAAGGAAAAACAATCACAAATCGAATGCAATTCTAAGTATGCAACTCATTTATAATGGTGCCAGATTACATTTTTTAACTGACATGGATGGCAGTGAACATTGATTTATCAATGTAAAGCAGTCTGACACTGATAACAGATCCTGTATCACAATTTGTTGTGGTTTAATTTCATAAATACGATTAAGATTTGTCACTATTGTAAGTTCCAATAAGCATTATTTATAAAGATATAACGGAATTTAGCATATTATGTAAATAATGGTAGGTAATTACAAATTTATTTTCTATAAATTCTAAGTCAAATTTTCCAATAAGAAATTAATGCATATAATTTATGAATTAAATATAATGTGCACAAATATTTGCTGTACATATTTATATATATTCTTGTAAGGGTGGTATACACGCAGGTACAATATGAATCACAAAACATACAGGATCTTTAAGTTTAAATTGTATAAAAATTGATTGAATGATTATTCTCCAAAATAAGGAAAAACAGGCTTGTATGATCATATTTATATACTACACAAGGAGTTGAGGGATGGTTTAGAATAATGACAACTTCAATATAAATACGAACAGAAACTACATTAAACAAAAGCTTATAAAATCTTTACAAAATAAGATGTCTTTGTTCAATAAAACATTACCAAATAACAGATACTGTCACGTTATAACAACTACAGCAAAGTCATTCAGTGTCTTACATCATTATTTACTTCCGTTTCTCAAAATCGCGCGATGACTTAAACTTCTTTGCGGCCATTTTAAAAAAAGCAGCGAAATGGTGAGTTACTATTATTTTTCTTATCAGAAAACAGCAGTGAAACGGTGAGATACTATTAATTTCACTTCTCGAAAATAAGGAAAAAACAGGCTGATCAGTTATAGATATTTTTGAAAGGTTATATGACCGTATATAAACGGTTGTTTGCAATATAACCCTCACTTAGCGGCTCGGGTTATATTTCCAAACAGCCATTTATATAAGGCCATATAACCTCTCAAAAATATCTATAACTAATATTATAAAGGGAAGGCAGGGGACAGGAGGAATTTAACTTTCGGATTGTTATTGATCTTTTGATATAATTGTTCATATCACACGACATACCATTTTATCACATTTTTTTGTTATTGCGAGTTTCGACTTTTGCTACTAACATTATGCTACCTTTCACGACATAACAACTTTAAAAGGAATCATTAAAGACCAATTATGCTTCAAAAATGCTTATTCTTATATCTCAAAAGCTTTCCTATATCCTTTAAACTTTATATTCATGATACTTAGTTCTTTTGGTAAATTATTTACGAAAATTTTAAATGATAGATTAAAAACTTGGGCAGAAAAAAATCATGTCTATATTGAAGCTCAGTCCGGTTTTAGACAACAAATGGGAACCATAGATAACATTTTTGTTTTGCATGGCCTTATTACGTATCTGTTGAATAACAATAACAAACTTTATGCTGCGTTTGTTGATTTTACTAATAGTACAGTCAATGGGGACCGTTTGTATAAGGCTTTTGACTATTTAGAGAGAGAGGTGTTATATGATATAAATTAAATAAATATGGTGTAAGAGGTAAAATGTTAGACGAAAGTGTAAGGTCAAGAATAAAATATCAAAATGTTTTGAGTGAAGAATTTTCATGTGTGTTAGGCGCCCCACAAGGACAGTCTTTATCACCTTTTTTGTTCGCCATGTATCTTAATGACATAGAATAATATTTTATCGGGAGTTAATTTAGGTTTCTTAAAATTGTTTTTACTTTTATATGCAGATGATATTGTTATTCTATCTGAAACAGAAGAAGGCTTGGAGCATTATTGTGATAAGTGGAGATTAACTGTTAATATTAAGAAAACTAAAATAATAATTTTCAGAAAAGGCCGACTAAGACATAACATTTCATTCGTAAATAAAGGAGAAAATTTAGAAATTGCCGAAAAATTTACTTATTTAGGAACTGATGGATCTTTTAATACTTCATTTGAAACACTATCTGGTGAGACTTTGAAGGCAGTATATAAATTACAACTAGATTTATTAAATTCCCATGTATAACTGTGAAACATAAACTAGACTTTTTTGATAAATTGATCTCACCAATTTTGAACTATGCTTCATAGGTAAGCGGTATATATGATTGTTGTAAATTAGAAAAAAAGTGCATTTAAATTTTTGTAAAAAAATGTTAGGCGTCAGAGTACAAACTCAGAACAATTTTATTTATGGAGAACTAGGTAGAACAAATTTGAAATGCAGAAGAATTGTAAAATACTGGCTTAAAATTATACAGCTTGAAGATGTAAAATATGTTAAAATAGTTTATGATTTATTGTACAGAGAGTTACATGAAAGACCTAACAAAAAACATGGGTTAGAAGTGTTAAAGATTTATTACAGTCGCTTGGTTTTAATGATGTATGGTTATCTCAAGGCGTAGGCAATGTAAATGTATTTATTAGTTTAGTAAAACAAAAAGTAAATGATGTTTTTATCCAAAATTGGTTTTCAGAAATAATTTACTTAACTAGAGCTCGTACATATGTAATATTTGCAGATTTTAGATTTCAAAAGTATTTAAACTGTATAAATATTGAAAAATATAGAATTGCTCTGTCCGGGCATAGAGTTTCTTCACATAGACTCGAGATTATGGCAGGTGGAATAAACCTAGTGCTATACCTTTTGATGATAGGAAATGTAAAAATTGTTTTATTTTAGAAGATGAATTTCACTTTATTTTAGAATGTTCTCTATATAATGAATTCCGAAAAAAATATGTAATAAAACAATTTGGAAAAGACCAAATATACATAAATTTGTTACATTTTTGAATTCAGAAAATGAAATAGAAATTAGAAACTTATCAATGTATATATTTCAAGCCTCCGATGTGCGAAATTCTATTCTTTACAGTAAATTAAAGTTTCCTAAACGCTGTTTCTTACATACACTTATTTTCGTTTTGTTTTGTAATTTACTTCCTTATTGATAGGATGGTATCTGTACTTAGTATTTATTTACCAGTAATATAAATCGAGACATGTTTGCACCAGTTTACCTGCTTCTGCATGAGTTCACACATGGATATATGATCCTAACATATTTGTACTTTATAAAATAAAAATCAGTCAGTAACATAATAGGTAGTAAAATAAGTAGAACATGTAAAATAAAACCATTTATTTCAATCGTTATGATATGGTTGATTAAATACTGAACAGACATAACATTATTTTGTAAATTTCTTCAATGAAATGAAAGCTTTTCGTTGAAAAACTATCGTTTAATTATTGTATAATAATCTTAAATGATAATTTTATTAAATGTAAACAAAAATAACGATCTAATAACGTGTACATACAATTTGTATAAAAATATTACAAGTGTTTTTCATCTATTGGCAAACACAAAGGTTATCTTCAGGGATATATAACTTTGAGAAGATTTGACTTGTCGCATAAAGACATTGACATTAATGATATAAGGTATTTTCAAACCAAAAACTATGTTTAAATACGACACTTTTAATAAACTGGCTAATCACAAGAATTGTGAATTCAAAGTATAAACACGAAAAACTCAACCGAAAATGTGACGCAGAGGCTATTTTGAAAATATAATAGCTGAGCTAAAATCATTTGCGAAGTATTGTTTTTTTTTGTATGGTTGATAATATTTTTGTATTACCAGTTATTTCACTTCGTATTTTTTGACCGAAAATCATTTTAATTCAGTTTGACTTCCTGTGAAATCTATGAATCCCAGATAAAATGTAAAGGATAATTCTTGCCACTCTAAAATAAAATTTTAAGGACAGTTCTAAAATAAAATGTTTAGGAGAGCTGTTATATTGCTGAGATATTTAAGTTCTGTTTAACCATATTCAAATTTGGGTTCAGACCACATACTTTAACAATTGATGTAGTGGATGGGGTATCGAATCACTTTATGTTATCTCTAGTTCTCATAACTGTTTTTGTTTGTGAAGACAAGGCCGGTTTACTTTTTTACATTGTTTAATATTTTTCTTTTTCATTATAGCTTATTGCATTGAGTAGATTGTTGATATTACACTATTCATTATCCTTTAATTTTCATTTGAAATATTTCATATGTGTTCATTTAATAAAAATTAAAAAATTCCAACGTAAAAACAAATCACAGGGACACATAAATAAAATTCTGCAAAATAGAAGTGTCATACATTGAAGAGACATTGATATCAATATGCTTATATTTATTTTTCTTTGTTTATAACATGTTATCTTAGCTACAAGAAATTATTGTGTCATTGTTGTACACGAATTGCTAACATTTATATATGTTTCAAAAACTTACAGCTAACATGATGCAAGTTTTTATTCGGGCGTTGTTTCAATTAAAATTTTGTGTAGAGCTTATCTAAAAGTGAATACGATGAATCAATAACTATATGTTACTTAAATCTGTGGAACTATATGTAATTGTAATCTATTGGACTATACATAACTACAGATCTAAGTAACTATATGTTACTTAAATCTGTGGAACTATATGTAATTGTAATCTATTGGACTATACATAACTTCGATCTATGGAACTATATGTAACTTTCATCTATAGAACTGCATGTAACTTTAATCAATGGAACTATATGTAACTATAATCTATGGAACTATATGTAACTTTCATCTATAGAACTACATGTAACTTTAATCTATGGAACTATATGTAACTATAATCTATGGAACTATATGTAACTTTCATCTATAGAACTACATGTAACTTTAATCTATGGAACTATATGTAACTTTCATCTATAGAACTACATGTAACTTTAATCTATGGAACTATATGTAACTATAATCTATGGAACTATATGTAACTTTCATCTATAGAACTGCATGTAACTTTAATCAATGGAACTATATGTAACTTTCATCTATAGAACTACATGTAACTTTAATCTATGGAACTACATGTAACTTTAATCTATGGAACTATATGTAACTTTAATCTATAGAACTGCATAGAACTGCATGTAACTTTAATCAATGGAACTATATGTAACTATAATCTATGGAACTATATGTAACTTTCATCTATAGAACTACATGTAACTTTAATCAATGGAACTATATGTAACTATAATCTGTGGAACTATATGTAACTTTAATCTATGGAACTATATCTAACTTTAATATGTAACTGTATATAATTTTAATCTATGGAACTATATATAACTTTACTAAATGTAATATTTTAAAAATATTATAGCGATTTCAAGAAATTGTTTGAAAAATCATAAATTAATTGCTACATGATGATATATCTCTATCGGTGGGGCGTCCATGGCAGAGTGGTTAAGGTTGTTGACTTCAAACCACTTGTCCCTCACCACTGTGGGCTCGAATCCCGATAGGGACTTGGGATTCTTTCATGTGAGGAAGCTATCCAGCTAGCTTACGTAACGTCGGTGGTTCTACTCAGGTACCTGTTCGTGCTGAGATAATGCACGAAAGGGCATCTGAGCTCTTCCTCCGCCAGTAAAGCTGGAAAGTCGCCATATGACCTACACTGTGTCGGTGTTACGTAAAACCTAATTAAACAAATAAACACATATCTCTATCAGTCGGCATACATATTTTTTTGTTATTAAATCTAAAAGGGTTTCCTTTTCCTTGACACTTTGTTGGTTTTGTATCATAATAATGGTCAGAGGTACATAATATTTAGACTCTTTAAACAAGTGATTTGTATCATTCGGCAGGGGATATCAGTTCAATCAATTTGCGTGTTTTCATCTGTTTATAGGCTGGTAATATTGTGGTTGGTTCTATAGACTTTGGAACAACGTACTCAGGGTGGGCAGTGATGTTTTCTCATGAATTTGAATCAGAGCCGACGAAAGAATTTGTGAGGCAATGGCAGTCGGGAAGCTCGATAATCACAGAGAAAACACCTACAGTGGTACTTATTAAACCAGGTGGCAATAAATTGGAAGCCTTTGGTTACGATGCTGAGAACCGTTATAAAGAGCTTATAGAACATGAAGAACACGAGGGATACTACTACTTTCAGCGCTTTAAAATGAAACTTCATAAGCAATTGGGCGATGTAAGGAATATCTCAATGAATTACATTTGTACAGTTTCTTGATTGTTACACATTGCTTAGTTTTGATAATCCTACTTTTAGTTATTTGATTTCTTTATTATTCACTATAGATCTACAGTCCCGGTTGGTAATTAATCAAATATTGATTGTAAGGATATAAACTAGGACCAACAAGGAACGGCATCGTTCACAGCATCGTTCTCGGTTCATGGTTAGATGTTTAATCAAGTGTTTTACGCCATTTCTTTTATTATTTTCAATTTATATTCTCTCGTCCAAATTTAAAGCCCTTACCTGTATTTTTATCATCCATTATGCCTCTTGACAGTAATATTTAATAAAGTCGTCCCTTCCCCTTTATCACATTTCCATTATGATTCGTTGACTATATCCTGTTACTCTCCTTGGCATTGTTCGAATGTTCCACTACCGTTCTCCTTATTATGAAGTAACGGTAGTATATTTGATTAGCTGCTAAAAAGCGTAATACCCTGTGCAACAGGAAATTGTCGAAATTGAGTTCTGTTGACGTTGTTTTCCCATGTTAATATTAACCACAATTATAACATATGTTGTATTTTCCTTTACATTAATTTTTCATATTTGTCATTCAGAAAATTGACTTGAATATGACGTTGACAGATGAAATGGGACAGACACTACCTGCAATTGATGTTTTTGCTATGGCAATAGAATACCTTGTTAATGATATGCATGATGTAATCAATAAGAGAATGTTCGGAGTACTTGAGAGGTCTGAGGTTCATTGGGTTATCACCGTTCCGGCTTTTTGGACTGACTCTGCAAAACAGTTCATGAGAAAAGCTGGTGAACAGGTTTGTTATATTTATGTTCATCGAATTGTTTAATTTAAAGTTCATTGTTAAGTTTCAAATTTTGATAAACATATCAAAGGTAGTTGCTGTTGACAATTTCATCAACTTACAATGTCTCTTCAGGCTGGAATTGATGATTGCAAATTAAGTATCGCCCTTGAACCAGAAGCGGCCTCCATTTTCTGTCGCCATTTGCCAATGCAAAAAAGGATCGACACTACTAATGTATGTAGTGCTTCCTTCCCAGCTGGAACGAGATACATGGTTCTTGATGCTGCAGGTATATATTTATAAATCTCTCTGTCTGATAAGATAAATAAACGGGAGTATTCTCAGTTCATTAAAGCATATTGTAACCCGTGGAAAAAGTGTCTTATAACTTCTACTGCTTTTTTAATCTTTGAAAAATCAAATAATGAATATAAAAGTGGCACTTTTCGTTTAGTTTAGCTGTAAAATGTATACATGTAAGTTGTCTCAAACTTTATAGATAACTATTTCTACAATAACTATGCTTGTATATTGGTAACGGATCATAACATGTCATATAACATATAAATACGAGCACTGCTATGTACAACAATCTCTATTCTCTATTGTTTTTTTATACGCCGGAAAATATTGACGTATATTGTCAGGCGCCTGGTTGCCCGTCCGCCCGTCTATTAGCAGTTTTATTGTCCGGTTTTATCTTTTGAACTGGTGGATGGAAACTGAAACTACTTGGCAAAAATGTTAATCATAATGAGACGATGTTCAGAGCGTAAGTTTAATCTTCGTCTGTTCATGGTCAATGTCACAGTACACTTAGTCATTTTGTATGACTTTCAAACCTTCGTGTCAGTTCTGTATCTTTTGAACCGATAAATAGAAATAATATTTTTGGAAGAAATATTATTTATACTCGAACGATTCACAGAACATAGGTTTGGGCTTCCTAAGATAAAATTAGCCCCGCTTGATTTATAAAGACATGTATAGGAAAAGTTTCATTCTGTAAATTTACAACGTCTAAAGCTTAGATATATAGCACGTTCACTAATTCAATATATTTTTATAGGATACCACGTTTAACTATTTTGTGAAACGACATTGCCTAAAGTTAAGATTCAACATGTAACATTGCCTTGTTGACTTCTATATAAAACTGATGTTAATAATGCTCCTGTCTCTGGGGTCACTAAGTTTATGTAGTCGTGTATTAGAAAACATATTTCAATCTTACTTTGTGAGACTACAGTGCCTAGAGTTTAAATATATTTCTTGTAGCATTATAGAGACTTCTTAGACTATAAAACTTGTTTTAGTCTTATCGAAGAATATAGCATTTCCTTATGGACCTCAAGAAAACTGACATTAATACTTAACCCTCGGGTCATTATATGGCCTGCCTCAGGAGTCACTTAATTTGTATAGACTTCTGCTTAAGCCGGTGCTAGAGGGTGTGGACGGTAGCTTTCAATTATTACTACTACCGTCCATGAACTGGGTCAATCAAACCAAGTGTGCAACATTTTCAATTTTGTTCAATTTCTTCTAGGTTTCTCTTTTTATCTATTTTATGTAGAAAACAAAACAACATTTTAGTCTTATTGTGTGAACTACAATTCCACGAGCTATATTACGCATGTAGCATTACCTCTGCAAAAACTGATATTCATCAAGCCCATTTGGTCAATATTGCCCCCTCCCACAGGTCACTTGATTCATATAGACTTGTTTAGGTATTTACATTGATGTCTTACTGTGTGAAACTACAGCGAATCCCTTAGCATGTAGCATTAATTTATAGATGTCAACAAGAGTTATATTAATCATGATCCAGAGGTCAAATAAGCCCTGCCTATAGTTGGCATAAAGCATTACCTGGATAGATGTCTATAAAAGTTATATTAATCATGATCCAGAGGTCAAATAAGTCCTGCCTATAATTGTCATAAAGCATTGCCTGGATAGATGTCTATAAAAGTTATATTAATCATGATCCAGAGGTCAAATAAGCCCTGCCTATAGTTGGCATAAAGCATTGCCTTGATAGATGTCTTCAAAAGTTATATTAATCATGATCCAGAGGTCAAATAAGCCCTGCCTATAATTGGCATAAAGTATTGCCTGGAGTCGTCCTTTATAAATCATTCACCTGTGGTAAACCATGGTTCCATTTTGGAGGTCATATAGTACCATAAGGAAAATTGAGATGATTTTTTTTCCGACAAATTTCTTGATTTGGTCTCTTCCCTAATTGATTTTCATCACTTAAACCAATATACATTCGGGTGTTTACTGTCCCGCCTTTGCTGTGCTCCGCTCTGTTTAATCTTTAAATGACAAATACTGTGTTGTGTAGGGAACATGTCGTAAAGTAAGATACTTCTTTGGCGACAGACAACAGACAAATCTATAATTTCAAACTGAAATTAATGAATTTTATTGGTTATCTTATAATCAGTCATAATGATATGAAGAAGTTTCTGTTACTCTCAAAAAGGTCATTCTAAAATTTGACAATAAATAATAAGTTTCGGAATCGACTCCTCTAGTTCTGAGCCTTTTCTCAGTACCAAGGTCTGATGAGCTAACGCCATATTTTTCTTGATTGAAACAAATATCATAAACACTTACCATTTATAGGACCATTTGACTTTTTCAAACAGCATGATAACTATTTATAGATGTTTAGAAATTTAACTTTCAATGACATAGGTATGTGAAATTGTAGAATTGATTGGTAATTTCCTATTAGATGTGGGTGCTTGTATTGGACGCTATCTTACGTAATCTGATCTTATATAATATTCAGAATTAAGAACTGTATATTAATACCTTTTATAAAATACAGGTCCTAATATGTCATTTATATATGCAATTGCACTGCTATGTATAATAAAGTAATGACGTTAATCGAAATATTTTAAACGATTCATTCTAAAGGGCTTTATTTGGTTCACCTGTTTTTTTATTTTGTTTTGCCGATAAAATTCAAAGGTAGTTTAGACATTTTTGCGAACATTTAAGTATATTTTATTTATCAGGTGGTACAGTAGATATTACAGTGCATGAAGTCCAAGCTACTGGCGTTGTAAAAGAAATACAAGCTGCAAGCGAAGATGGCTGGGGTGGTACTCTTGTAGACCAGGCGTTTGAAAAGTTGATCATTGATGTAGTAGGGAAAAGAGTTTATCAGGATTTCAAACAGGAAAGCCCGGATGATTGGCAAGACCTTTGGCGCGATTTTGATCTGAAGAAAAGAACAATTAAACCTGATAAGGAGACAAAAGTTGTCATGAAGATACCCGAAACTCTTCGTGAGCAGTATAAACGTAAATTCCGACAAACCTTTAAAGAGGCCGTTGAATCATCTTCATATGCTGAAAATATTACATTTGTTGCTGACAAGATAAAGTTTGACGCAATCGTGTTTAAAAAGCTTTTTGATGTCTTTTTGGCCAAAACAATACAGCACACGGAAAGCCTAATCAGAGATCCAGCTGTCCGAAACATTAAGGCCATTTTAATGGTTGGAGGTTTTTCTGAGTCCCCAATGATTCAAGAGAGGGTTAAATCATGCTTTCCTGGCATTGATGTCTTCATACCTGCTGAAGCGTCCTCATCAATATTGAGAGGAGCGCTTATCTTTGGACATAGCCCATCTTTGATCTCAAAAAGAGTTCTGAGGTATACATATGGTGAAAGTATATATTCTGCTTCCATAAAAGGCGAAAATCCAGAAAGCAGGCTTGAAATGCCTGATACAGGATATCAGTACAGGGACGCAAGCAAGTTGAAAGAAATCAAAAAGTCTAAGTCGGAGAGACACAGATAAAACAAATTTACACAACAGTCTACATTGATCAGAAAATCATCCGTTTCCCGTAATTATATGCGTCACAGATGAAGGATCCGAAATATACCGATGAAGGTTGCAAACTCAACGGAACAATGAGCTGTCAGTCTATGATGGAGACTTGTCACGTGAACTTACATTTAGCGATACAGAAATGGAGGTGACAACTCAGGATGTAAAAACGGGGAAATTAGAAAAAGCGTCCATTAATTTACTCAAAAAAAAAAAATTAAGGTCAAAGACCTGCTAAATAAGACATGCTTCATTAAAAATAATTAATGAAATTAATCAAACTCTGTAGGAATTTGATATTGTATTGAACTATATTGAGATGACAAAACTACGGTTATATTATATATTGTGATTGCTTTAAGGCGCGTAAATAGTGGAATTGATATTATAATAATGCATACATGCATTTATGAAAAATATGTTTTGTGTTTTTGCTTAATTAACAAGTATCCATGTTTTTTAATAATCAAGATAAGTAATTACAAATTTATCCTCATATGGCACATTGATATTGTATTATAACATAAAATGCTGTATATTTAGACTATTAATGTTTTACAAATAAAGTGTTTATCGGCTTGATAAAAAACAAACCTTTTGATAATGCGAGTATAATGAGTGAATTGAACTGTGTTTTATAACACTTGAAATGATTTTAAGTTGATATACTCGCAACACGGTATGTAACGTTGTACAAAATGATTCGATTTGTTAAACATAATGTAGCCCCTCTAAAATTACCAAGATTTACCTCTGCGTCAATGCAAGCATCTATTTTTGGATATTACACAAAATATGCCCCAAAACCCAATTGAGTTTGTTTTTCTTTAAATTAAATACTTCAATATGTTCTTAAAATACAAATATGTTGACATGCATTTTTGTGTTTAATTGTGACGATAATCCAATGTAAATGTTGTCGAATTACAGGAGTTTTGATAATTGAAAAACACATATAAATTTACAACATTAATAGATGATATATTGGTTTAGACATTTTTATTCCTGGAAGTATATATAATGTACATACAAATACATAACAAACAAACTATTTTTGGTGGGACCCAATTATCAGTCTGTGTTTTTTGAGTATAACGTATACGTATATGAAATACATTTTAAGAAATAAAAACGACTAATATAGGTCAAATACTTAATATAGCACTTACATGTAGAGTCGTATGAGAAGATAACCTCTTATGCAAGCTTGTTTGACATAAAATCAAATGTCAGTGACATATAAGAGCATTTATTTATTAAGGTTAACTGTTCTAAATCTCTTGTCATTCATACTTGGAGATAAGTTTTGTCTAACCAAATATAGATGTCGCAATAACTTTAAGCTCAAACACAAATTAAATTTCGCATATTTATTTTCAGATTTTAAATCAAATTAAACTCTTTTGAAAAGCAATAACAATTCAAAACAAAACCATTCTTACATAAATGCAAGGGCATTGTGAAAAATATTAGTATACATGTATTATTTTTGTTGTTATTTTATGTTTTGTTTCCTATTTGTTTATCTCTCAGCATACATGTATTTTTAAGTACTTTACAAAATTATTCGATAGTTGTTTGTTAAACAAATTTGTCGATGTCCAAATATAAGTTATTGCCATTTTCTGATGCTTGTCCTTTCTGGCTTGGTGTAGGGGATGGGGGTTGTGTCGACTGCGTTTCGTTTACGTGACTCTACCTTGATGATCCTTCCTCACTACTTTTTGATTGTTTTATGTTATCTCGATAAAAATCTCCAGCTATTAGTTTATATTATTTTGCAAATAAAGAATGTATAAGCGTTTAAGTCGATATTAATCTTTTGTCAATTGTTAGAAAAGGTTAGCTATGGTATAAATTACACGGAGTTTGGATTAAATTATGCCTTCAAAGGTAATACTCATAAACCTTGACTGAATCAATCAAACTTTGACTCTGTGTCTACTTGATTTGATTGTGGTAGGAGACTAAATTCTATGATCTGACGGTTTATCATCATTTATCAAGAAATTTCATTTTTCATTTTCATACTAGCGTTTTTTAAACTGTTGATGATTCTCGGCTTTTTTGACGATGTAATTAGAGTATGTTAATTGCGTATGTGAGTATTACAGGTGTGACCTTGGCAAAGCACACTGTAGGAATAATGTAACCAACCAGTTGCACGATGGTCCATGTGCACTAGGGCCAACTTCCACTACACGAAGCCCAGAAGAAGTTCTCCACGGAAGCGAAGTAAACTATTATTTCCAGTTAAAGATACAGTTTTGGGAGACATGTTGTTTTTGCCTTCGCCGTCTGTCTGTCCGCCCGCCCGAGCTTACATATGGATACTTATGTGGCTAGAGGGACAATAGGTTACTGTACTTTTTCTTTAATGTCATTCATTACGTAAGGCTTTTACGTGTCTCTTTTCTTTGTTGTGGCTAAAAATAACGATAGAGAGAACAATAGAGTAGCCAAATTACTACTGTCTCGTTAGAACTTCAATCTGTCCGTCTGTCTGCATTCAGCTTGTCCGGCTTTCACAGGTCAAACTGCTGGCCGGATTTCAATAAAACTTCACATAAGAGATCAGTACCATCCCTAGTTGTGCATATCGCCGACACGTTTCGCTTCGATGCACAAAATTGCAGCCAGAGCTATATATAGACAAAACTTGGGGGTTAAACTGCTAGTGGGATTTCGATAATACTTCACAGAAGTGATCAGTACCATTCCTAGTTATGCATATGGCCGGCAAGTTTCGGTTCACTGCACAGAATGGCCACAAGGGCTATAAATAGAAAAATGTTGTCCGGCTTTCAAAAATTAAACTGCTAGCGGGATTTCGACCAAAAATCACAGGAGTGATCAGTACCATACCTTCTTTTGGGTGTTTTTGTGACAAAAACCCCTTATAGTTTCATACTGCAGTCGTCAGTAGTTCATTTTTACAAATGAGTTAATAATTGCTTGTTAGTATATATAACAATTTTTTGCTAGCGAATTATCAAATGAAATTATCATCTGCAGTAATTCATGTCACTAGTACTTCTTTGAATCGATTTCATGAGTATACTCACGATGATAACATTTTCGTAATGTATTCTTGTATAATTTTTGATAACTTTATTGTGCCTTTCTTGTACCCTCAAAGGATGAAATATAATTAAAAGTAAAATAAGAAATAAGATAAGCACTCACTCCGAATGTAATGTTAGAGCTTTTTGTATGACAATCTGTATTCTGATAGCTATATTGTGTTTTACATTTTTTACATTGATTTTCGGTGTTTCAGATAGTCTTAGATTTCCAGTGTGTTTTGCTCAGCCATAGAGATTGTCAACCGGCATATAATGAAAAGCTTTGTGGTACTGACGGCAGAACATACCGCAATTTGTAGGTGCTTCTGTGACCTTTATTTCTTTTGATACAATTCTGTTAAATGTCTCTTGAATTCAACATGTTCATTGCAGTTTTCATGGTCTACTTTTCTTAAACGAAACCAACATAAATTGTATTTCCATCTCAATTAGCCTTAAACCTGATGAGTTTTGGAAATTGTTTAAAGTACTGGAGTACAATACCTTTATTTTTCGCAATCCATTTAAATGCATGTTGGAATATTGTAACTGAATTATTTTTGTCTCATGTTCAGACAAAATTAAAACATGCAAACGGATTGAGCTGGCAATAACAACGAATTTCTTTGAAAGTTTTTTGTTAGAAAATGTATTTCATACATTCTATATATATCAATATATACTTATTTCAGTTGCGAATACGAAAAGGCGAGATGTACACACAGAGATCTTCATGTTGCCAAATTTGGAGACTGCAATGCTTAATTTTAAAATGCATATTGTATTGTTTTAGGCATTCAATATAGATCAAAGAAATGATAATTTTCCTTTTTTGTTGCAATATAATATCTCATTTTAAAAATCATTTTTCATAAGTTTGCAAAGATTATTTTTCAATTATAATGACAAAGATATGTTTTACCTAGTTAAGTGTTGACCTGAGGTCTTTTTAATATTTACCACATTAAAAACTATTGTCTTATATGGACTTTTTCATCTTTCAATCTTGATAAGACTTTTCTATTCTGTAATGGATTGTACTGAGTGGAAAGGAAACAGTGCAGACCATGTGCTGGAAACACCGGTAGATTAAGTCGCCACCTTTAGATTAAAGGTTGCAAGAAGCAGTCATATTATTATGCTTGAAAAGCGATTTCTTTTAAACTTGTACACGAGGAAAGGGCCCGAAAAAGGGCAACATTTTGGATGCTCCCCAGCATCAACTCAATAAAAAAGTAAGTTTGTGTGTTATGTTTTCAGGATATTATCTTATAAGATGAGAAATTCTGCTTGAAAATGTTCAACTCAATTGTTATTTCTCATAAAATTACGTCTTGAATTGTATAAGCACACCGGACATTTCCATTATTTGTAAGTTTCTAAACAATCAATTCCGATGAGGTTGATCAAAACATATACATGTACAAAGAATATTTTAAGATAACACAAAGGTAAAGATAGTTTGTGTCATTACCAGTCAACCGCTTTGTCTCGTTAAAGTTATCAAGCACATTTCACAAGAACCACACAAAGTGCTCCAAATAAAATGTTTTCACAAGATAAGAAATAAAATCTAAAAGTTTCAAAATACAAATTACCTTTAGGTGTACTCATTTGTATACCAGATTTATTTCAATTCGATCGACAACCTTGATACTTCGTATACCTCTTTGTTGTGAAACAATATCTATTTGAAATGAGAAACCATTTATTAGACATCAGACATACTTTGGATGTTTAAAGCGAGTTTATTGTAAATTGCCAAAAAAGAATGATTAATATTAGCGTTCTAGCATGCCATTCTTATAGGCATATGATAAGATATTGTGGTTGTCTGCAGCTTATAAAGACGTGTTTATTGTTATTTTTAGTTACTAGTATGGTAGTGAAGTGAGTCCTTTCTGCAAAAAGGCGTGAGATATATCAATAATTATCTCCCCCATGTATCAAAAATACTCATTTAGTATCAGGATGTTTTCTTATTCTAGACATCATCATCTATTCATTTGCTCTAAAGCGACCTTATAGATTTAAATAAACAAAATAAGGAGTTCATATTTTGAAAAATGCTAAAGGTGTTTGAGCAATTACCTAATCAATATCTTGACTTAAAAATGGGATGAATACACGACAGGACATGTTGTCGCATTTGATAATTTTGACGTTATTGCCGCTTACAGTACTGCAGTCTGCTATGTTGATGACATCGTTTTAAGTGTTGTTGACGCAGCAAGATTGGATAAATGCATTGACAGACAACTTTAAATATTTTGGTTTTCCAGAGCAAGATTCTCCGACGAGAAGATAAGAATTTATCAGACTATATTCACATTTACATGCATATACATTGTATTTATGACACAGTTCCAAGCCTTAGCTTAACCTATACATTTATAGATATTGACACGATAGCTGTAAGGATTGCTTGTATTGTTCCGCAATTCTAGCCTTCTTCATGGAGGAGTGTAACAATTAAAGTTTTCCATTCCATTTGATCTCATGATTTTTCCTGGTATAAAGAACTAACAGTCATTGATCGTCCCTAGTGTTTGTGCAATTCTTTGCCGCATACTGAAAAAATGACAAACGAATACCGACAAGTTCCATGGCGTACGTTTATTTACAATTTTAACATTCCTCATGATTGTGCCACTAAACACAAAGAAGAAAGAAAACGGTGTTAAACTGTCAATGAACAATGGTAAGGAAGTACATGTATATGTTCTTTTTTATACATGTTCTCCCTTCGATAATATAGATAAAACTTTATAAGGTAACAATAATAACGCACTTTTATTGATATTTTACGTTCTTACTATGTTGTATTTTCATATGATAATAAAATACATCTAGCATACAAAAACACAACGGGTTGTATCCTTGTCAATAAGAAAAAAACTAATGCAATTCGTATGCGGTATAATCGTGTCCAATTTCCATAAAAAAACTATCAAAACTCCAAACCGGTGTTAAATAGCCGATAAACCCCACTGAAATCGATCGGATTACTAAAAACAAAAACTTTCTGTTTAAATTACAACAACTTATTACAGAAAGAAACACGTTTAACCAAAAGTTAAATTAAAAAATTTATTCAATAATAATAATAATAATAAAAAATAATAATAATAATAACTGAAATACAGAGATTGTCACGTATTACTACAGCAAAATAATTGAATGTTTGATATCATAATTTAGTTCCGTTTCCTAAAATCGCGCAATGCATTTAACTTCCTTGTGGCCATTTTGAAAACAGCAGCGAAATGGTGAGTTATTATTGTTTTTCTTCCTTTTTCTCAGCGCTAGGTCATTCTTAGAGATGCTTCACAGAGAATCATACGATCAGGTGATATTTTCAAACAGGAACCATGTTTTTTAATGAACATTTTGTAAAAAATCGGTAAATAGAACAAATGTTGCAAATTACTTCAAACAAAAACATGCTTCTATTAGTTCAAAAACTATGATATCTTAATTTAAAGATGAGATGTATTTCGTACTAGTATTTATAAAAAACCACATTATGTGGGGAAGGTAGATTTCTATATTTGATTATTGAACTTTCCAGATTGTTTTTGACCTTGATAAAATATAAACGTTTGTATCGCGCGACATACCATCTTATCACAATTTTGTTACTGCGAGTTTCGACTTGTTAACATTCCTTCAGATACAGGAAAGGATAAACTGTGATATTACGCTACCTTCCACGATATTACAACATTGAAGTGAAACATTACACATTACGCTTCAGAAATGTTTTTTTTTAACAAAACCTCGAAAGCTTTCCTATAATTATCCCTTCATGGTACCCTGCCAAAGTTTACAAATAGAAACTCCCACTCACAGGTCATTTACCTGAACCATCATTTTCTTCTGTTGCTGTTTGGCCATTAATAAAGTTGTAGTAAATCAGCATTTGTTATGGAAGTCAAAATACTACTTTATTCGCATTTGGCGACTATTATGCCAAACAATTTCACATTCAGTGCTACTTTTTTCAGGTGATAAGTTTTTAAAGTCTCTAAAACCGTTAAAACTCATGATAGCATTTCAGAAAATATTAATAATTCATTTGTTTCTGACTGAGGTATTATGTGCCTGTTTGTCTGTTTCTTTCTTAGGTTTCTCATGCATATGTGATCCTTACACATTTGTAGTTTATAATATAGAAATCAGCCAGAATCATGATTTTAGAAGAATAATTAAACTACTTTTTTCGATCATTAACATAATATTATGGTCCATGAAATGTTGAATAAAAATGCGTTGTAACATACTTTTAAATATAACATTTTATTGTATTTTGTTTGGTATTATAAAGGGTATGTTTACTAAATAAAATGTTTATGAAAAGTTGATTTTTGAAACATTGTATTCTTATCGGGTTCTTAAATGTAAACATTTAAATATCGATCAAATTACATATGCGTTCAATTTGAATAAAAGTACTCCAAGTGTGTTTTATCAATGGGTAAATACAAAGGTAAACACAGATATATATTTTCGAGTAGATTTGACAAGACACTGGCATTAATACTATTTTGTTTTTTTTAAAGCAAAACTATTTTTATAAATACTGTTTTTAATTAACTGACAAATCACGTTATAGCATTTTTTCTATGCCATTTTTTCATACTTTTATTTGTGTGGGATATTACTAAAATGTATCGGATTTAGAAATATAAATCAGATTAAAAGATATAATGCAGAAAAAGAAACAATAACTATCTTTTGCATTATTTTGGAGTTGGTATGTAATTTTTCAAACTAAATGTTTGTATAGGTCATGACTCGACAAAGTAAAGTAGGCATTTACTTCAATTTTATAGATTGATATATCTCATAGAGGCGAAATGCTGTGATTAAGAACAAGAACTATCGCTTGCATAATTTTTGTTTTGGGTTATTGTCCTTGTTAATTGCCATGCTTAATTTTGCCTCAGAGGATAATAATCACAAGTATTCAAAGTTTTGAAAAACGAAAACATTAATCGACAGTGTGACGACACCGGTGTGAGTAGGATAGTTCTCCCTATGTTAAAACTATGATAACCGAGCTTAGCCCATTACCCGATATACACGCCTTTTAACGCCCTTTTCACCCCCCATTATTGTTGTCTCAAATGGTGAAAAAATGCCTTATACAGGCCCACAACACTTGTTTTTGTTTGAGAAATGTTGTTTAAAAAAGTGACCACTTTTTCGGCGCGGCCCCCAACCAAAAGATACATCAGGGGGTTGCCAGAAGGGTGATGTGCCCCCTTCTGTCTGGGGGGGGTGGTGGGGGGGGGGGGGCGGCAGTCCCCCTCATCGCCAAGAAAATTTTGGACTTGTGAGAGGCTAAAAATGACCCCAGATCGATCATAAGGTAACGTGTAACCAACGCTGAAAAGCATTTGACTCTATCTCAATCCATTGAGAAGTTGCAGCACTTTGAAATCAATTTTGATGGGAAAAAATCAACGCAACATAGTGATTTTTGCAATTTTGAGATGTCCCCTCGTTGCCATGGTAACAGGAAATTTAAGCCTGTCATGTTGTTACAAAGGCAATGGCCAAGTCAACATTTGTGCCAAGTTTGATTAGTATTGAAGCAGTTTTTTTAGTTTTATAGCAATTTGAACTTGTAACGGGAGACTTTTCAATGAAAACAGCCATTTTTCACAAAATGCTCATGAAGTCATGGGTTTAATCATTTTTGAAACGTTTTTCTTGTACGCGGTGATTTAGGAGTATATATTTTCATACTAGTTATTTCATTTTGTATCTTTTTGGCCGGAGGTCATTTAAATACAGTTTGAATTCCTGTAAAAAAAACAGATAAGAAGATTTTTTTCTTGGTCAATTTAGAATAACAAATTTAAGTCTAGGAATCTCATTGGCTTTTTTCAAATAAAATGTAAAGGATAGTTCTTGCCATTCCATTATAAAACAAGTACAAATGTTGCTGCAATGCAGCAATTAAGAAGCTTCGCGCAAAAATGCGCTCTTTACAGATACCTTACCAAATCATTCCTACGCACAGGTCATTTTCTATTTAGATTTCCAGATGAGCCAAAATATTTCAAGAAAATCAATATTGAGAAAAATGTACTAACATTAAAGGAAAGGTAAAAACATTCAAAACCCTAGTAAAATTTTACATGTTATGTGCAGTTTAAGACTTGTTAAAGATTTAGCAGTATTTTATCACCGTTACTAACACAGTAAGGGCTATTTTGCATATGTTGACCACTTTTTGGAATTTCCTTAGATTGTATGTGCAAATTGCAATATGTAGATTACTTTATTTGATCAGCTCATAATATTTTATTTTGAATACATTTCCAAAACTTTCATGAAAATTATCATGAATCTGGAGGCGTGCTGCTTTAAGTACTGTTGTACATTATTCCAGATGTTTTGTAAATCATTTAAAGTTGCATAATTATAGATCTACGTCTCGTATGCGCTGTCAATGATAAATAGAGGGACCAGCTATTAAATATAAAGAATGCTTTCACTAATGCTTAATTAATACATGATGATACACCTCTTTCATAAAAAATAATCAGAGTTAATCAATTTAAATCATGATTATTTCTGATCTAATTTGATTAACTGAATTTGATAAATCATAAAAATGTAGTTTTTTTTATGAATAAATTATCTATTTCGAACAAATAATGACAAAATAATATCTTATTGTCATTAAGGGACTCAACTGAGGTTTTTTGACATGATGGGACTGAAAATATTTTTTTCAGATAAATGTACAATTTGATGTTCAGATCATTAGCGCACTTCGTTTTTCCAGAATGATCAAATTGTAAAAAAATGACCCAAATTGAAAAGCATTTAAACACTTTTCACTCAAATCGGGCTAAGAAAAGCATAAAAATACGATTTTCAATTATTTTCAAAGTATATTTCTTAACTACCTTTGCATATATTTCTGTGCTCATTTATGAAAGAAATTCAAATGTTATGTTTTAGGCTTTTAATCCTCAGTGGAGACCCTTTTAATTTAAAAGGGTGTCATTTTCTTGACACTGCTAATCTTTTTGGCTTTGTATCATAATAATGGTCCAAGGTGGTAGATAACACTGAGAAGCTTTAAACAAGTCATTTGTATCATTCGGTTTTGGATGTCATTTTAATCAATTTGTGTTTTCATCTGTTTATAGGCTGGTGATATTTTGGTTGGTTCTATAGACTTTGGAACAACGTACTCAGGGTGGGCAGTGATGTTTTCTCATGAATTTGAATCAGAGCCGACGAAAGGATTTGTGAAGCAATGGCATTCGGGAAGCTCGATAATCACAGAGAAAACACCTACAGTGGTTCTTATTAAGCCAGGTGGCAATGAACTTGAAGCCTTTGGGTACGAAGCTGAAAACCGTTATAAAGAGCTTATAGAACAGGAAGAGCACGAGGGATACTACTACTTTCAGAGATTTAAAATGAAACTTCATAAGCAAATGGGGGATGTAAGGATTATCTTTATATTAAAATAAATTTCATTTGTACAGTTCCTTGATTGTTACACATTGCTTAGTTTGATAATCCTGCTTGTACATATTTTGTTTCTTTATCATTCACTCGCATTATATATTGATTATATATAATGTAAGGATATAATACTAGGATCAACAAGGAATAGCATCGTTCTCAGTTTTATGTTTCGTTTGTATGTTTTTGTCAAGTGTCGCCGTTTCTTTTATTATTTTCCATTTATATTCTCTCGTTCCTATATAAAGTCCTTAAATGAATATTTAATCACGACTTATAACTATGAAGTTTCTTGTTGACAATACTTATTAATCAATTCGCTCCATTTTCTTTATCTCCTTTTTGTAATCTTGTATTACCCTTTCGCTATTTGTTATTTCGAAATCAATTTGTTCGTCTGTACATTTACATGTATATATTAGCAAAAACATGTTTAAACATTTCCTTTATCACCTTTCCACAACGATTGGTTGAATATACCGCCATCATTCGAATGTTCCTCTACCGTTCACTTTCTTCCGACAGTTTGAAGTAACGGGAATTTATTCATTAAGCTACTCAAGGAACGTAATACCCATTGCGACAGGAAATAATCGAGATTGCGTTCCGTTGACGTTATTTTCTAATGTTGATACATGTATTAACCACAAATATAACATATGTTGAATTTTCGTATACATTAATTTTTCATGTTTTGATATTCAGACAATCGACTTGAATATGACGTTGTCGGATGAAATGGGGCACAAACTGCCTGCAATTGATGTTTTTGCTATGGCAATAAAATACCTTGTTGATGATATGCATGATGTAATCAAAGACAGAATGTCCGGAGTTATTAAGAAGTCTGAGGTTCATTGGGTTATCACTGTTCCGGCTATTTGGACAGACTCAGCAAAACAGTTCATGAGAAAAGCTAGCGAACAGGTTTGTTATGTTTATATTCATCGATTTGTTTCATTCAAAAGTTAATTGTTTAGTTTCAAATTTTGATAAAGATATCAAAGGTAGTGCTGTGGACAATTTCATCAACTTACAATGTCTCTTCAGGCTGGAATTGATGATCGCAAATTAAGTATCGCACTTGAACCAGAAGCGGCCTCTATTTTCTGTCGCCATTTGTCAGTTGAAAAAAGAATCGACACTACTGATGTATGCATTGCTTCCTTCCCAGCTGGAACAAGATACATGGTGCTAGACGCTGGAGGTATATATTTATAAATCTCTCTCTCTCTCTCTCTCTCTGATAAGATTGATTAACAGAAATATTCTCAGTTTATCAAATCATATTGTAACCTGTGGACAAGGTGTCTTATAACTTCTACTGCCTTTTCAATCTTTGAGAATCAAATAATGAATTTAGAAGCGTTACCTTTTGCTAAGTTCAACTGTAAAATATATACATGTAAGTTATCTGAAAATTTAAAGCAAAGCAATTGTAAACTTGAGATACAATGTTTTATTTCTGCAATAATTATGTGTGTATAAAGGTTATAGATCATAATATGTCACTTAGATTTTAATACGAGCACAGCTATCTACAATATGTTTTCTATTGCTTTTTATACGCCGAAAAATGTCTGCGTATTTTGTCATGCACCTAGTTGTCTATCCGTTCTTCCGTCTGTTAGCAGTTTTCGTGTCCGGTAGCTTTTGAACTGGTGGAAGTGAAACTACCTGGAAGAAATGTTAATCATATTGAGACAAATGTGCAGAACGTGAGTTTTACCTTCCTTAGGCCATGGTCAACGTCACACTTAGTCATTTTATATGAATTTCAAACCTTCGTGTCCGTTCTGTATCTTTTGAACCGATACACAATTTTTTTGGCCGAAATATTACTTATATTGAAACAATTTGCTGAACAAAGGTATGGGTTTCCTGAGATCAAAATAAGCCCCGCCCAATGGATAACCTGATTTATATAAACATATATAGGAAAACACAAGTTTCATTCTGCAAATCTACAACGTCTAGATCTTAGATATATAGCATGTAGCCTTGCTTTTTTGACCTTTAGAAAAGTGATATGAATCATGCCACTTGGTTCAATATTGTCCCCGCCACTGGGGTCTTTTGTTACTTATATAGGAAAAACCAATCTGAGATTTTTTTGTGTGAAACATCGTGTCCAGAGCTTAGATATTTAGCATATAACCACAAATAATTTGTATTAATCATGCTCCTTAGGTCAATATTGGGATCGGCCCGAGGTTCACTTACGTAAGATGTATAAGATAACACCTTTAAGTATTTTGTAAAACAACATTGCCTAGAGCTTAGATATTTAATATGTGACATTGCCTTGTTGGTGTCTACAAAACTGGTATAAATCATGCCGCCAATCGGGTTAATATTGGTCTTTAAGCTACACACCTAGAGTTTAAATACTTGTCATGTAGCATTGTCTTGTTGACCTCTACAAAATTGATATAAATCATACCCCCTTGGGTCAATATAGGCCCGACCCCGTGGGTCACATATTTCATATAGACTTCTATGAAATTTGTTTGCAATAAGAAGGAATGCAGTATTTCCTTATGGATCTCCTGAAAACTGACATTTAAATTCACCCCCATTCTGTCAATATATGCCCAGCCCCAGGAGTCACTTTATATAGACTTCTGCTTAAACCGGTGCTAGGTGCGTGGACGGTATTTTGCAATTTTTACTACCGTCCAGGAAGAGGGTCAATCAAACCGAGTCTGCAACATTTGCAATTTTGTTCAATTTCTTTATTTTATGTAGAAAAAAATAACACCAACATTTAAGACTTATTGTGCGAACTTCAATGCCACAAGCTAAAATATTAGTGTGTAGTATTAACTTGTGAATTCTGCAAACTGAAATAAATCAAGCCCTTTCGGAAAATATTGGCCCGCCCTGGGACCATTTTATTTATAAAGACTTATATAAAAACACAAATGTAAGTTTTATTGTGTAAAACTTCAACAAAGCCATGAGCTTAGATATTTAGCATGTAGCATCAGTTTGTAGATGTGTTCAAAAGTTATATTAATCAAGACCCACAGATCAAAATTGGCCTTGTCGGGAGTCACTTGCTTTAAGGTAAAGGAAAACACATTTTATCTTTTGTGGATAAATACTATGCCTCTATATTTGACATTAAGCATTGCCTAATAAACTTCTATAAATGTTTATGAATCATGTACCTAGGGGAAAATAGCCTCCAACCTGGAGGTCATATAGTATCATAAGGATAATTAAGATAAAACATTTTTCAGGCAAGTTTCTTGATTGGGTCTCCTCTCTAATTGAAACGCAAACAAATACACAATCAGACGTATATTGTCCCGCCTTTGTGGTGCACTTTGAGAGTCAAATAATGAATAGGGAACTTGTTGTATGGTTAGACTCTTAAAGTAGTTTATTTCCAAATTGTCTTTTTTTGTGAAATACGACAAACAAAATTGGAATTAAAGTCATTTTAAAAATGATATGAAGGGGTTTCTATTACTCTCTCTAAAAAGTCATTTTAAAATTTGACAATAAATAATGAGTTCCGAATCGACTCCTCTAGTTCTGAGTATTTTCGTATAGCAAAGTCTGATTTCTAATGCCTTTATGTCATAATTTTCTTGATTAAGACAAATATCGTAAACATTTATCATTTATAGAACCATTCCACCTTTCTTAATAGAATCCTTAAATCAGTCATATTATCATAAATGAACCATAAAATTAGGCATTATATGCCAGTCTTCCTCTGTGAAACATAATCCTTTAAAATTCTGTACAGCCACTAACAATTTATGAGCAAATTGCAATTGAATCAGAAATTGAGTTTTTGTCATTTTCCCTTTAAACTGAACCCTATGCTTAATTACGGGCAGTTTGTCAACTATAACGCTTCTTAAGTTTTACAAAAATTTGTATTAAAATTTTAAATTAAGTGTATATAATGTAACTTTATTTTCAAAATAATCTAAAATGTAATTGAAAATGATAATTATGATAATGATTCTGATCTGATACCAAACAAAATTTGCTTCTACTACATAATACACAAGAAATAATTGTGATTATTGAAAAGATAATAGAATGAATATCTGCATGAACGTTTCATTCTAAACGTAAAAATATCAGGCTTTATTGGTTCACCAGTTTATATATTTGTTTGGCCGATAAATTCGAAGGTAGTTTAAGCATATTTTATATAACAGGTGGTACAATAGATATTACAGTCCATGAAGTCCAAGCTAATGGCGCTGTAAAAGAAATACAAGCAGCAAGCGGAGGTGGCTGGGGTGGTACTCTTGTAGACCAGGCGTTTGAAAAGCTGATCATTGATTTAGTAGGAAAAAGGGTTTATCAAGATTTCAAACAGGAAAGCCCGGATGATTGGCTAGATCTTTGGCGTGATTTTGAACTGAAGAAAAGAACAATTAAACCTGATAAAGAGACAAAAATTGTTATGAAGATACCCGAAACTCTTCGTGAGCAGTATAAACGTAAATTCCGAAAAACCTTTAAAGATGCTGTTGAATCATCTTCCTATGCTGAAAATATTACATTTGTTGCTGACAAGATGAAGTTTGACGCAATCGTATTTAAAAAGCTTTTTGATGTTTCGTTGACCAAAACAATACAACATACGGAAAACCTCATTAGAGATCCAGCCGTCCGAATTATTAAAGCCATTTTAATGGTTGGGGGATTTTCTGAGTCCCCTATGCTCCAAGAGAGGGTGAAATCCTGCTTTCGTGGCATTGATGTCATCATACCTGCTGAAGCGTCCTCGTCAATATTGAGAGGAGCGCTTATCTTTGGACATAGTCCAACTTCGATATCAGAACGAGTACTGAAGTATACGTATGGCGTAAGGGTATTTCGCAATTTTAAAGAAGGCGAAGATCCAGAAAGCAAACGTGTAATGACCGATTCGGGACCTCAATGCATGGAAACATTCGACAAGCATGTAGAGAGAAATAAAAAAGTAAAAGTAGGAGAGCCACAGATAAAACAAATTTACACACCAATCGACAGGAATCAAAAAAGCTTAACCTTTCCCATATTTGCGTCAGAGATGAAGGATCCCAAATATACTGATGTAGGTTGCAAAATGATCGGGAAAATGAAGATAGAACTGCCAGACCATGATGGTGACTTGTTGCGTGAAGTTGAAGTGAGCCTTACATTTAGCGGTACAGAAATTGAGATGACAGCTCAGGATGTAAAAACGGGGAAATTAGAAAAAGCGTCCATTAATTTCCTCGGATAATCAGTGAATGAAAAAAAACCCAACAATTTAAGGTAAATAAGACTTGCATAACTAAAAATAATAAAAGAAATAAATCAAACTCTGTAACAATTTAATATTGTATTGAACTATTTTGATGACAAAACTACGGTTATATTATAAAGTGTGATTGCTTTAAGACACGTAAATAGTCGGAGTCTAATAGTCAAAGTCAGAGAGCCACAGATAAAACAAAGTTACACAACAGTCTACATTGATCAGAAAATCATCTGTTTCCCATATATGCGTCAGAGATGAAGGATCCAAAATATACCGATGTAGGTTGCAAACTCAACGGGACAATGAGGATAGAGCTGTCAGTCTATGATGGAGACTTGTCACGTGAACTTACATTTAGCGGTACAGAAATGGAGGTGACAACTCAGGATGTAAAAACGGGGAAATTAGAAAAAGCATCCATTAATTTCCTCGGTTAATCAGTGAATAAAATAAAAACAATTTAAGGTCAAAGACCTGCTAAATAAGACATGCATAATTAAAAAAAGTTAATGAAATTAGTCAAACTCTGTAACAATTTAATATTGTATTGAACTATTTTGATGACAAAACTACGATTATATTATAAAGTGTGATTGTTTTAAGACACGTGAATAGTGGAATTAATATTATGATAATGCACAAATGCATTCCTGAAAAAATATGTTTTGTGTTTTTGCTTAATTAACAAGTATCCATGTTTTCTTTTAATAATCAAGATAAGTAATTCCAAATTTATCCTCATATGGCACATTGATATTGTATTATAACATAAAATGCTGTATATTTAGACTATGAATGTTTTACAAATAAAATGTTTATCGGCTTGATAAAAAACAAATCTTTTGATAATGCGAGTATAATGAGTGAATTGAAATGATTTTAGTTGATATATTCGCAACACGATGTGACCAAGAATTGACATAACGTTGTACAAAATGAGGGAGAATGCTGTTCCATTCTATTTGTAAAACATAATGTACCCCTTCTAAAATTATCAAGACATACCTCTGCAAGCATCTATTTTTCGATATTACACAAATTATGCCCCAAACCCCATGTACAGTTTCTTTTGCGTTTTAGTACTTTTTTTCGGCAAACATTGATAACTAATAACTTTGAATTTGTTTTTCTTTAAATTGAATACTTAAATATGTTATTAAATATGTATGTTGACATGCATTTTTGTGTTTAATTGTGAAGATAATCCAATGTAAATGTTGTCGAATTACAAGTGTTTTAATAATTGAAAAACACATATAAATTTACTACATTAATAGATGATATATTGACTGTACACATAGACTTTTACTTTTCAAGAAGCATAAATATTAACTGATGGTAAAAGAAACTACAATGTGTCAACTTTATAAGCAGTAAATATAATGTTACATTTTATTTCATCAATAGAATATCTAATATTTAGTTTAAAAAGTCACCTATATCGGAAGATTCTAAAACATCGTTGTTGTTGTTAAATTACTTTGTATAGCTTTACATAATACTTTTGCATGAGATGAGAGAAAATAGCAATATAATTCATAAAAGTGTTACATTTCATTTGCTTTTAAGGTAGACCATGGCTAATGGGCACCATTAGGAACTGTAAAATTGACAACATAGGACTGTTATATGTCTTAAAGGTCACCTGTATGCAAAATTTAAATAAAATTTACAGTGTGGTTTATGAGTTTTGGATATATTTCTGAACTAAAGCCTTGCTATTAGAAGGACTTTTTTTAAAAGTTGAAACTTTTATAAATTCAAACATTTATAAATTCAAACATTTACATATATATTATTAACAATTTCCTCTGAATTATGCAATTGTTCTTCGTACATTATATGCCGTATGAGTATACGAACTGTTTTTATTTTTTAAGAACTAAAGCTCATTGCTTACGACTTGAAATCTATAAGTAAGGTATATGGCCCGAAGCGCAGCTGAGGGACATATACCTTCCGAGGTCTGACCAACCAGTCCGTAAACTTGCATTTTGCCCGAAAGGCCATGTTTTATTTGTTATATTATACCGAATCTAAATCCTTTCACCCCCTGGTTGTTTGCAGTCATTTTTACTATAATTTGCTTTTAAATAATAATTTAACTTGTTCAGTGTGTGAAATATCTCAAACCCTTGTCTGATTTTGTTTTATTATTTTTATGCGATGCAGGAAACAAGCCATCGTCGGATACCCACGGCCATAAACATGCAAGTTATGTGACATGTTTATCAATCGTGGGTATCCGACGATGCAAACAGTCATGCTTCTTTAATATTCCATCTTTGTTAATCAAATTAAATTTTAATTTTACTAGGCAAAAAACCCGGACTTTAAGAATTTCACAAAATGTATAAATAAGATTTATAATTAAATTAAAGACAAATCATCGCCTAGCCAAGTTTCAAGTTTTTTTTTCAAGTTTTTATTTCAACTAGGCCCATATGGGCATCAGGTTTATAAACAGTAAAATTTCACAAACAAATGAGCATTAACAAAACAATACAGATGTGTAAATAAAGCTTGAGACAAAATAATTTGCATGATAAATACAAAAATAAGACTAGAGATACTTAAATTATGAGTGACTTTACAAATGAGTGACTAGAATGAGACATAATGCAACCGCACAATGAAAGTTCCTGACCAAAACGCAAATGAAGTGATGCAGCGACATGGTGTAACCACAACATGGGGCCCATGAAGCCCCACACTGCAAACACACCACGCCGGTACAATTAGTTCCACAAAAATTAAACAGGAAGTGTCACAATTTAATGCGATTACAAATGTCATGAGACCTTAAAGATGAAAAAATAACAAAAATTTAAATAAAATACATAAAAATAAATAAAAGTAAATAATGAAAATAAAGACAATACTTGGCAATAGATACTGACTAGAAGGTGGTAAACATTATTTCACAATAGACATTATTCTTTGTGTAAAAACAGACAGTTTGATTAATACAGTTCTATCAGTATTTTGAAATAATTGCTGTAAATTAAACATGTTACCTCTTCGTAAATTAGTGGGCAAGTACTTTCTACGATAAATGTTAAAATAAGGACATTGAAAAATATAATGAAACTCATCACCTAATAAAGAATTATTTGGACAGAGATGGCAATATCTTAAATCATGATCCAAACCTATATAACGACCCTTTTCAATAGGGAGTTTATGGTTACTACATCTAAACCTACACAGTGATAAGGCTAGATTTCTAGGTAAAAGTTTAAAATAGGGTTCTAACTCAAATGAGGATTTAAAAATTCTGTAAGTGATACATTTGCTAGAGTTAAACACTTGTTCATGCCACATTTGAACATATTGGTCTTTGATTCTAGATTTGACAATATTTTTAAAATAAGAAGGTGATAACACAGATTGGTTTATCCAGTATTCAGCAAAACCAAGCTCTTGCAATGATTTTTTAACATAAACTATCCATGGGGAGTGATATACGTTTTGACGGTCCAATTCAAACATTAGTTTGTACATAATATTACATACTTTATCAGGTTTCGAATTAATGATTTTGCACCAAAAATTTAGGATTCTACATTTTATGACACAATCAATTGGAAGAGTACCAAGCTCCCCAAATACCATAACACTGGGAGTGGACTTTTTGACATTCATTATGAGTTTAAGATATTTCAACTGAAATTGCTTTACAATATCAATGTTACCTACACCCCACACTGCTACACCATATAACAAAATAGGAGTGACCATGGAGTCAAAAAGTTGTAACTGTAAATCTATATCAAGACAAAGAGTTCTGGATTTTTTAAGTACAGCAAACATAGCTTTTCTAGCTTGGTCACACAGGTATTTAGTAGTTTTATTGAACTTACCATTATAATTAAACTTAACACCTAAGTAGCTAAAATCCTCAACAATATCAAGTATGGCATTGTTAAAGTAAAAAGAAGGAGTATTTCTACATTTCCCTTTTGAAAAAATCACCACTTTAGTTTTGGCTGTATTTACTTGAAGTTTCCATAACTCGCAATAAGTAGACATAGCATCTAGTGCTAATTGAAAATCACATGCAGATTCTGCAAAAACTACAGTATCATCAGCATAAAGCAGTAAAAACAATTTAAATTAAACATCTACTGTATCATCACTTAGTACATTTTTAATAGACTGCGAAAGTAAATCTAAACCATTGTACGTATTTGAGATATGTTCTACAAGATCATTCAGGAAGACAGAAAAAAGAATGGGTGATAGGTTTTCACCTTGACGGACACCTGTTGCACTTGTAAAATATGTTGATAATCCCCGAGTGCTTTTTACACAGGATTTAGCTTTGTCGTAAATACTATAAATTACCCTTAGCATTTTACCATCTACATTGTGCTTTAAAAGTTTCATCCATAAAAAAGTTCTATTTACAGAATCGAAAGCTTTTTTATAATCCACAAATGCACAATATAATTTCTTATTCTTACTTAGATAAAAATCAACTAACAGTTTCAAAGTAAATATATGATCTACAGTTCCATAATCTTTACGAAAACCAGCCTGCTCTTCACATAACAGTCCTGAATTTTCTAAAAAAGTATTAAGTCTGTTATTAAGAATACTTGTGAATAATTTTCCTAAACAACTTAAAATAGTGATTCCTCCGTAGTTGTCAGGGTTATTTACATCACCCTTTTTTTATAAATAGGAAAAATAACTCCTTTGCACCAGACTTCTGGGACACATGCTGATCCAGTTTGAGAGTTATCTGTTTGTGTCGTCGTGAAATTCGCACGTCGTAAAAGTTACGTTTAAACGGTCTTCATAAGAATTATGGACCGCCCCCGGTCTGTATGCGGTTTATGGACCGGGTGACGTCATATTAAATATAGAAGGGCGTATGCAAATGAGGTATAATATAATTAATTAAGTCATTTCTGATGCAATATTTGCAGTTAAGAGCAAGCCATATACATTGTATATATATACAGAAACTTGTACTCAACTGAAACTTTTTGTATAATGGAAAATACCATAATTGTAGAAAAAAGTTATTATTGTTTATTATTGTGGTTAGAATTTCCCATTTTATCCATATTAGTTGATATGATACATGAGAAAAATCTATGGCAAATTCGTTCGCAATTCTAAGTAAGCAACCTAGTATATATAAAGGTGCCAAAATGACTTCATTATAAACTGACATGGGCGGGTGATGAAGATTGATTTATCGAGCATCGCTGTAAACACAATACAATCCTGTCTGACACGTAAAATAATATTATTGAAAAAATCTATTAAATTATTCTTGAATAAGAAAATGAAACATTTTTTTATAATTTTTCCTTTTTCTTTCTTTATAATTCTTTAAACACCGAGACTTAAATTGTTACTTTAAGACCCAATCATACCTTAGCGACAGAAAGATGAGAAACATAACAGCCCAAAACGAAACTCGACAAGGGAAATAATCACCGCTTGAAAAAAGTAGCGTTAATGATTTCCCTTATTTAGTCATATTAGCATGTGGTTTGATGTCACTAAATTAACCACTCAGGTCTACGGCCTTCCTGGCAAATTCATACGCATCACAAGTATTAGCATTTCCAAAAATGCTTGACATGAATATAGAAATATTAATTCATGTCTTGCCAAATACCTTTATTGTTTGTGGTCAACACATAAAACCAACAAAATAATTGATCCGTTCTAGACGTGCTGATATATATATATTTTTTTGTTCTGGGTCAGAATGTAGGAGATATTGCCAAGATGAAAAATATCGCGTAGTACAATTAGTTAGACTACATATGCTCTACTTAATCAGTGCTTCAATCGGCAAAATAATAAGCTTCTTGCGCTTTGATTGGCTAAAGATGGGCGGTGTACAGGTAGAACTATTCAAATATTGTCATTTGTATATATCGTCGTCCAGGAACGGCGTTAAAAACTCTAAACCGGTGTTAAATGGCCGTAGACACCGCTGAGACCGATACTATTTCTTAAAGCAACCACTCTCTCTTGTATGAATAAAAACAGGGATATTTTCAAATAATTAACTTATTACGAACAGAAACAAGTTACAATGTATTCTGTTTTCCATAATAATAATAATAATAATAATAATAATAATAATAATAATAATAATAATAATAATAATAATAATAATAATAATAATAATAAAATAATAATAATAATAATAATAATAATGATGATGATGATGATGATGATGGTGATGATGATGATGATGATGATGATGATGATGATGATGATAATGATGATGATGATGATGATGATGATGATGAAGATGAAGATAATGATGATGATGATGATGATGATGATGATGATGATAATAATGATGATGATGATGATTAAACCATAACCAAATAAATTTATTTTCTATCCATGTCGACATAACCAAATGACAGAGATTTTCACGTAAATTCATAAGCATTACAGCAAAATGATTCAATATCTTAAAATCATAATTGAGTTCCGTTTCCTAATATCGAGCAATGATTTTAACTTCCTCATAGCCATTTTGAACACAGCAGCGAAATGGTGAGTTTATATTATTTTACTTCTCAGCGCTAGGTCGAACTTAAAAATAATTTTGAACATGACATACAATCAGCTATTTTTATTAAGAAATTATTTATATAATGAATATTCGTAAAAAATCGGAAAAGAGAAAAATGAAATGCTGCGACTTATTCAAAAAAAAAAAAACATGACAAAAAGACTGCTAAAAGTAAGTCGAGATATAGTCTTTATTTTCGGAAGAAACCATTATAAGGGGAAGACAAGGGACAGGACACTTTGATATCTGATTTTTGAACTGAACATTCCATATTGTTGTTGATCTTTAAATATAAATGTAATATCGTGCGACATACCAGCTTATCACAATTTATTATTGCGAATATTTCGACTTGTTTACATTCCTTAAAGACCCATTATGCTACAGATATGTAATTTTGCCTTCACCTCATAAGCTTTCCTATATACCAACAGCTTTAAATTCATGGTATCTAGCTATAGTTTCCAAAATAATTACTCACATGTCATCAACCTGAACCATCATTTGCTTCTGTTGACATTTGGCAATTGTTGAATCAGTATTTTGTATTGAAGTCAAAATACTACTGTGGTCGCATTTTCCTACTAATATGATCAACAATTTCACATTCAGTTAAATTCTTCACTGAAATAAGCTAAAATCATTATTTAAAAGTTATAAAACTTGTAAAAGATTGACATTTATGAAGAAGGAAAATTCTGTTTTTTTTCTGCACTAGTTTACACATGAATATGTGATCATTATACATTAGACTTTATAACATAAAAGTCAGCTTGTATCATAATTTATAGTATTTTAATCTGTAAAATGTGGTTTATAACATATTGATTGCGATATGCTTTGTAACATGCTTTAGAATATAACACCGTATTTTGTCAGATTTTAATCTGCAAACAATAAAATGACGATCAAATTGCGTGTACGTACAATTCAAAAAAATATTACAAGTTTTGTTATCCATTGTCCAATACATAGAGGATATTTGTTTAGTTCAGTGCAAGATTGGAATATATTTCACTGAGTGAGCACCAAAAGGTATATTTCACAAGTGGCGCAGCCACGAGTGAAATATGAACTTTTGGTGTTCACAAGGTGAAATATATTTCGATCTTACACTAAACTAAACAAATTTTCTTTTTATTATATGCCAAGAAACGTTTTAAAAAGACATTAATCCTAATACTGAATGAAAAGCGCGCCAAATAATAATACAACGTGACGTAATTTACGACGTCACGTCATTAAGTTGGTACCCAGTACTGTGCACGCTGGTTTTTCACTGAAACAACGTAAGGGGCTTAAATTCAAAACAGTGAAATTATCAAAGTGGTAATTTCACTGTTTCATACAGTGAAATTACCAGTTTTATATCACTGATATATAGAGGATATTTGTTTGTTTGTGTGTAAGATGAAATTTTATTTCATCGAGTGAGCTTTAAAAACAGTATTCTCACGAGTGGCGTAGCCACGAGTGAGAATACTGTTTTTAAAGTTCACGAGATGAAATAAAATTACATCTTACACAACAAACAGACAAATTTTCTTTTTATTTTATGCTTAAAAACAAGTTAAAACGAAATTTCCATAATTTTAACGTTAATATTAAAATCTGTTTCCCCCATTGAGAGCCCCATTTAGACGGAATTTCTTATTTAAAACAAGAAGTCTTGAGCTGAAAAATAAGTCCGCCAATCAAGGTTAAATGACGGTGATATGTATTCATTTTATTAAAAAAAATATGAATGATCGCTTGTTTTAATAATAAAGACAAACAATTCTTGCAGGAGAAAATTCCAACCATCCATCCAAATTTCTGTTACTTACTGCGAATTTATATTAGACCTGGCTTTCTAAAATGTAAACGGCAGCCATTTTTTAAAGTTGTGTATTTCATGGGAGGAAAATAATTGTGTAAGATTCAGAAGGATATAATTTGGATTTGTTAGTCATACACCTTTTTAAAAGAAAGAAAACTTATTTGAGGATTGTAACAGACAAAAAATAAGTGTTGACAGAAGTGAAAACATTCAGAAAAGGAGCTAGGAAAATGGAAAACTTGGAAGCTTGCTGAAGGAACGCTGGGTTGTTTTACTTATTTTACGAGTGATGGCTGTCAATGCTTTTCGATTTTTCATAAAGCATACGGCAGTTATTGCTCGTAGGATACTTTAATATGCCCAAATGTCATCAAGAGCAGTTTTGCATGGGGAAGGAATGTATTTTTCAGACTGTAAAAACGAAAAAAAAAATTTAGAGACGAAATTTGGTGATTGGAATTTGAAGGAATAGAAGTAAGTTTTCTCTCTGTGTTACTTTTGACATTTAAGTTATTTATCTATTTCAGCTTTGCTATTTCTTTTAACAGCCTGACATTGTCAGAATTGTCAGTAAAAATAAAATTGAGGTACCACATGGGGAAAATCTTAAAAAAGTAGTTTCGTCATTGAAAAAAGTGAAATTATATTTTGATAATGTTCACTGTGAAATTATCAAATATAATTTTCACGGATAAATCAGTAATCCACTGAAAAGCATAAAATAAATTTCTATAAACCACCGAAAAGCATGTAATAAAACGGTATCATCAGGGATATATATCTTCAAGTAGATTTGTCGCCAAAAGATATAGAGTCAGTGTACCCGGTTCCGCACAGGACCCGGTCCCGCACACTTTCCCATTTTTCGTTTTTTCTTGAAAATTCAAATGAATTTATTCAGTTTTCTTTTGTGTTTCACTGTACTGGCATGTTTTCAACAGGATATAGCATAATCTTGAATCTTGCACCCCAGCCTCTCCCTTGAGAGTGCATATTATAAAATATATATTTGAAAAGAAATATATGTTTTTGTTATGGCAAATTTGCTGTTAGTTATGAAATATATGCAGACACATGAATTAACTTCTCGCCAAGTCATTTCACCTTGATTCTTTTGGTTAAAATAATACCAAACTCTTAAACGAACAAATCATAACTAAATAGATGAAAAAACTTTCAATCATAATTTTTTTGTCTATGCTTGCTATCTACAAGTGGTAAAAATGTGTGTCTCATTGCTGTTACATGTTTCCTGTGTGCTTCTGTGCATGGAAATAAATGTTTGTATACTGTATAGTAAGAATGTGCATTAAATTTATTTGAAGTCCTGAAAATTTGCAAAAATATATCTTATCTGGACTTAGAGATGTTATATTATTTATAAAACATGTTTAAGATGTAAAATAATCTTTCAGTATAAAAATGGCCTTGTGTGCGGAACCGAGTCCACTATTTATTATATTGGCCTGTTCCTGTTGCTTAAAATCAAGTGCACCTAGAAGTATGACCTAGTTAAGATAGAAACGTTTTAGTCATCAGTTTTTATGAGCAAAGGATGTAATTTTCAAAATAATATCAATTATATGAAGAATTTTTAACTATAAAATAATTTTCTTATTTTTCCTTAAAAAAGTGTACGACACCGGGTACACTGACTCTAGGCATTAATGATATAGATCTAAGGTGTTAATTTTTAGCTCACCTGTCACAAAGTGACAGGGTGAGCTTTTGTGATCGCTTTTCGTCCGGCGTCCGTCCGTCGTCCGTCGGTAAACTTTTACTTTAAATGACATCTCCTCATAAACCACAAAGCCAATTTCATCCAAACTTCATAGGAATGTTCCTTTGGCGGTAACCTTTAAAAATGTGTTCAAAGAATTTAATTCAATGCAGAACTCTAGTTGCCATGGCAACCGAAAGAAAAAACTTTAAATATCTTCTTTTAAAAAACCGAAAGAGCTAGAGCTTAGATATTTGACATGAAACATCTTCCAGTGAGTGTCTACCAAGTTTGTTCAAATAAAAGCCCTGGGGTCAAAATTGGTCCCGCCCCGGGGGTCATTGATTTTCCTTTTATGTGTATAGCAAAAACTTAAAAAATCTTCTTTTAAAGAACTCAAAGAGCTAGAGCTAAGATATTTAGCATGAAACATGTTCTAATGGGTGTCTACCAAGTTTGTTCAAATAAAAGCCCTGGGGTCAAAATTGGCCCCGCCCCGGGGGTCATTGATTTTCCTTTTATGTGTATAGCAAAAACATAAAAATCTTCTTTGAAAAAACCCAAATAGCTAGAGTTTAGATATTAAGCATGAAACATCTTCTGGTAAGTGTCTACAAAGTTTGTTCAAATAAAATCCCTGGGGTCAAAACTGGCCATGCCCCAGGGGTGTCATTGTTTTTAACTATATGTGTATAGTAAAAACTTAAAAAATCTTCATTTAAAAAACCAAATGAGCTAGAGCTTAAATGTTTTGCATGAAACATCTTCTTATGGGTGTCTACCAAGTTTGTTCAAATAAAAGCCCTTGGGTAAAAATTGGCCCTGCCAGGGTTGGGGGTGGGGGAGGGCAGAGGTCATTGTTTTTCATTATAATTGTGTAGTAAAAACTTAACATCAAGGAACATCTTCTAATGGGTGTCTTCCAAGTTTGTTCAAATAAAAGCCCTGGGGTTTAAACTGGCCCTGCTCCAGGGGCCTATATACAGGTGAGCGACCTCAGGGCCATCTTGACCCTCTTGGGTTAGTTAACTGGCGAATCACGCTACTACATAATAATTATCTTATTGAGATATTAACTTCTATACAATTTTTTATACTTTCTTGTGCGGGATATTATAACTAAAACTATCGGATGTAAAATTCAAACAGATTGAATGATCTCTTGAAGGAAAAGAACAATAATTGTCTTTTGCATCATTTTATAAATGGTTTGTAATTTTTCATACTTCATTTTAGTATAGGACATCACTCACAAAAGTAAAGCAGGCGTAACTTGAACTGTAGGAAGGACCTCATGTTAAATACATTTTCTTAGAGCCTCAAGTGCCAAGCATCATGAAAATATATTATTACCTGGCTCTCTCAAATACTTACAGATAAGAAACATTATTCACATATATAATTTTACAGCTTTCCATTTAATTTATAATTAAGACTGTATGTAATTATACCCACTCAAGTATGGTAAAGTTTAAGTGATACAGCATTTTTTTTATATCAGATAGACAATTACATAAATGTCTGGGTTTTATTTGAATTGTATTCAACTGGTAAATTAAGGTTTTACTATAAAAAAAAAACTGAAAGAATCAGGGACAAGTCAATTTTATTGGAGAATAGTAAACGACTTGTTCTGTTCTTTACATTTAAGAAATTATGTTACTTTTCCGTCATTATTTCATTTCGCACAAAGTGTAATTGTTTTACTAATTTCAATTAAACTTGTGTTTAAATAATAACTTAATTGAACACTTAAGATTGATAAAACTTACGAAATTCTTAGTCGAAAAAAAGAGGCATAATTATGTGAAAATTCCATGATAAAGTTATGTCTTCTTGCCTAGAAGTTTGGATGAGAGTCACTAACAAGTATTCAAAAGTTCGAAGAAATATTTACGTCAAGGGTATAGGGAAAACTTAACCGAAAATGTGACGCAGATGATTATTCCGACACCGTAAAAGAAGCCCATTGTGTGTTGGGTAAAATCCCTATTGTAAAAAATATAGAAGTCGATCTTACATTTTCGAAGAACCGCAATTGATGAATGAGTGATTTTGGAGTATATTTTTGATACAAGTTATTTCACTTTGAACATTTTAAAATTCAAGTTTGTTTAGAGTTTATCTAAAAGTTAAAACAATGTATCAAGGACGATGTGTAACTTTAATGAATGTAATATTTTAAAATCTTCATAGCGATTTAAAGAAACTAGTTTTAAAATCATAAATTAATTGGTACATGGCGATATATCTCTATCGGTCGTCATAAAAATAAATTTTATTTAGTTTAATTAAATTTTATACATGTATATGATTATTTCTAGTCTAATTCAATTCAGTGAATTTAATAACTTGGACGTAAACATACTTTGTATTGCTTTCATTATTCCCGAATCCTAAGATTGCAGTTTCATATTATCAATATTGCCAACAAATAATATTATCATTACAATTTAAAGGGTGTCCTTTGCTCATATTTGTTGGCTTTGTATCATAATAATGCTCTGAGGTACATAATACTAAGACTATTTAAACAAGTGATTTGTATCATTCGGCTGGGGATATCAGGTCAATCAATGTGCGTGTTTTCATCTGTTTATAGGCTGATGATATTTTAGTTGGTTCTATAGACTTTGGAACAACGTATTCAGGATGGGCAGTTATGTTTTCCCATGAATTTGAATCAGAGCCGACGAAAGGATATGTAAAGCAATGGAATTCGGGAAGCTCAATTACAGAGAAAACACCTACGGTGGTACTTATTAAACCAGGCGGAAAGGAACTGGAAGCCTTTGGTTATGATGCTGAAAACCGTTATATAGATCTTATAACAGAGGGAAAACACAAGGGATACTACTACTTTTAGAGATTTAAAATGAAACTTTATAAACAAATTGGGGATGTAAGTAATATCTTAATTTTGAATGAATTATGTTTGGGCAGTTTCTGGATTGTAACACATTATTTAGTTTGATTATCCTGATTTTACTTATTAAGGTAGACTATGGGTAATGTCTATGGGTAATGGGCACCATAAGGAACTGTAAAATTGACAACATATGACAGTTATATGTCTTAAAGGTCACCTGTATGCAAAATTTAACTAAAATTTACCGTGTGGTTTATGAGTTATGGATATATTTCTAAACTAAGACTTTGCCATTAGAAGGGCTTATTTTCAAAAATGAAGAAACTCTAAATAATTTGTAATATCATCATTATAAAAAATGTTTTTCTATTGCTAAGAAACAAATAATAACATTCAGATAACAAATTACACGAGCAAAATGTTTTTTATAAACAAATGTTCTTAATATGTATAAAAGTGTTTACCTACCCCACCCACTTTAAACACTAATTTTACTATTTCCCTATCTGAAATGCCTTATTCAAAATATTCCTAAAATTTACCATTATGAGGGGCTGTTTTCAAAGTTTGCCTAAATTTTCTTAAAGACATCATGAGAAATATGTAATACTTTTACCGTATAGTTTTTATTTTATTAAACTTTGAAAATATCTGGGATCATATTTACTATAAATTTTGGACTTATTTAGCAAATAAATACCTACAATAATTATATAATTTAAATCAAACCCTTTTTTCTTCCATAAGGGATCAGAGAGATACATAAAAAATGTAAAAAGAAAAAAAAAGAAAGAAAAAAAATTGCACCTTCTGGGGCTTGAACCCATGTCCGACAATTCCAGTGTAGTTTGCAAGCGATTCTAGCCTATTTGAATACTCTTCAAAGTGGAGGTAATGCATTACCCATGGTTTACCTTAAATTTCTTTATTATTCACATTCATTGATCTAAATTCCCAAAGTAATTAACAAGTAAAATGGTTTCCTGCGGGGAACATTTTTAATGATATAAAGATATTTCATTGAACTATTTTCAACATTGTTTGTTGGGGGGATAAATAAATGTTTGTATCAGAAATATAGTTGACAATAATCAATATAGAAGAAGGTCTTTGGAAACTGGTGACCGTTGAAGACCGGAGAAGGTCGAACATAAAACAATTATTTCTTTTTAAGAAAATGATTAAATAGGCCTACCATTTTATGAATAATTCCGAGCAAACAAAGAATAAAGTAAACACACAAGTTTACGCAGAAAATATCTCTATTCATTATGGCAGATGCCACTACGAATATTTTAATTTTGTAGATTTTCAGTATAAACAATTTATTGTTTGTAAAATTTGAGATAGATTTTAAAGAAACATTGATAATTTTCAAACACATCATTCAAGTTTTTCCACCTTAAACGGTAAAATAATCATAGAAAATTAGAAATATCACGTAATAGATTTTTGTTCTTAATAGGTGTAATTCGGACTAATTCCCTAGAGGTAAATCCGTAACGTACCGGCAAACGGTATTTAGCTAGGTTTTCGAAAAGGTCAGTTAACCAATCATGTACGGTTTACAGATCACATGCTCCTCCATGTACCGAAAACAGGTCACGTGCTCCTCCATGCCTCAAAAGTTAACGCGTACCAATACCCTGCGATCTTCAGACCGCAGGGAATTATAATTATATTGATTACAAGGATATATTATTACTAGGATCAACAAAGAAGAGCATGGATCACGGTTTGATGTTTCGTTTGTATGTTTTTTGCCGTTTCTTATGTTATTTTTCCTTTATATTCTCTCGTCTCAATGAAAAGTCCTTCAATGATTGTTTTATCACGCCTTATAACTCTGAAGTTTCTTGTTGAGAGTACTTATTAATCAATTCGGTCCATTTCCTTTATTACCTTTTCACTACAATTGGTTGAATATACAACAATTGTTATATCCCTGGACATCATTCAATTGTTTCACTACCTTTCAGTTTCTTACGAAAGTTTGAAGTAACGGTGGTGTATTTAATTAGTTGCTAAAGAGTGCGACTTGAAATTGTCGGGTTTGCGCTCTGTTGACGTTATTTTCCATGTTGATATTAAGCACAAATATTACGTATCTTGAATTTTCCTTTACATTAATTTTTCGTATTTTGCCATTCAGAAAATCGACATGAAAATGACGTTGACGGACGAAATGGGAAACACACTACCTGCAATTGATGTTTTTGCTATGGCGATAGAATACCTTGTTAATGATATGCATGATGAAATCAAAGACAGAATGTCCGGAGTTATTGAGAAGTCTGAGGTTCATTGGCTTATCACCGTTCCGGCTATTTGGACAGACTCTGCAAAACAGTTCATGAGAAAAGCTGGTGAAAAGGTTTGTTATCTTTATATTCATCGATCCGTTTCATTTTAGGTATGATCCCTTTAATGCGCTACCTCCCCTTTGAAGAGTATTTAGGTAGGATATAATTAATGTCAACGGCATTGAATCTGAGGGGCGTGGGTTTTAAAACAAAGAGGAGTCAACTTTATTTCTTTCTTTTTTTCCTTTTGTATTTTTCAAGTATGCCTCAGAATGCTCGTGTTAACAAAAAAGTGTTTATTTTTTTTATAATATAATCATTATAGCTATTTATCGGCTAAAAATGCCAAATAAAATAACACATATGGTTCCTGATAATTAAAAAGTGTAATAAAATCAAAAGTACACAGTAAAAGTATTTTACAAGATTAATCAATATACTTCTTAAAAATAATAGACAAACTTTGAAAACAGCCCCTCACTTCGGTAAATTTTAGGAATATTTTGAATAATGCTCTATAAGAAGTTTATTGATTGTTTAGTTTTAATCTGATAAAACATATCAAAGGTAGTGAAGTTGACAATTTCATCAACTTGCAATGTCTCTTCAGGCTGGAATTGATGATCGAAAATTACGAATCGCCCTTGAACCAGAAGCGGCCTCCATTTTCTGTCGCCATTTGTCAGTTGAAAAAAGAATCGATACTACTAATGTCTGCATTGCTTCCTTCCCAGCTGGAACGAGATACATGGTGCTAGATGCTGGAGGTATATATTTATAAATCTCTCTCTCTCTCTGATAAGATTAATAAACGAGAATATTCTAAGTTCATTAAAGCATAATGTAACTTGTGGGCGGCTCTTCTTCTGCCTTTTCAATCAAATGGATATAGAAGCTGGACTTTAAGAGTACTTTTTGTTTAGTTTAACTGTAACAGTATACATAAATTTATAGACAAGTCACACTAAAATTGAGATAACTGTATTGATAAGTATTTATAGATTCGCAGATAATAAATTTTCAGTAACATATGCAATAGATAAAGGATATTGTCGCATTGTTTTGTGATATTCCATAAGGTTTAGTTACTGGTATATGGCGATAATTTGACATTTAATTTCCACAATAATTATGCATGTATATATGTAACTTTTATAAAATACCAATCCTAATATGTCATTAAGATATAAAGACGAGAACTGCCTGTGTACAATAACCTCCGTCTGTTTTCTACTACTTTAAACACCGAAAAATTTTGGCGTATATTTTTATGCATCTTGTCGTCTGTCTGTTAGCAGTTTTCGTGTCTGTCTGTATCTTTTGAACCGGTGGAAGGAAATTGAAACTACTTGGCTCGCCAGTGCTAAGGGGCGTGAGGGATGTTGCACATTTTCATTATCCCTCCTGTAGAGACTCAATCAAACCGAGTATGCAATTTTGCTGTTTGAATTCTTCCGAAGCATCACTTTTTTCCTCCTTATTGACCTTTCCAAAAGTGATGTGAGTTATGCCACTTGGTACAATATTGTCCCCGCCCAAGTGATCAGTTGATTTATAATTACTTATAAACGAAAATACATCTGAGATTTTCTGTGTGCCCAGAGCTTAGCTATTCAGCCATAATATCACTTTGTGGACCACAAAATAACATGTATCAGTCATGCCCCTTAGGACAATATAAGCACCGACCCGGGGTTCACTAAGTAAATATTGGAAACTATATTACTTAGAGCTTAGATATGTAACATGAATTGACAATGTCTTGTTGGCTTCTACAAAACTGGTATTAATAATGCCTCTTGGGTCAATATTTGCCCTGCTCTTAGGGTCACTTAGTTGGTGTATTTTTGTATTAGAAAACATATTGCCGTCTTACTTTTCGATACTACAATGCATAGAGTTAATACCTGTATACTTGTCATGTATCATTGCCTTGTTGATCTCTACAAAATCAATACAAATCATGCCCCCTTTGGTCAATATTTGCCTTACCACCGATGGTCAAATTTCATATAGACATCTATATATCTTGTCTGAGTCATATCATGTAAACTAAAACTACAATGCCCAGAAGAATAAAGCATTTCTTTAAGGAGCTCCAGAAAACTGACATTGATATTTAATCATGCCCCTCGGGTCAAATTTACTACAATGAACTACAATGCTATGAGCTAAGATATTTAGCATGTAACAGTACCTTGTGAACCTCCGCAAAAACGATATTAATCAAGCTCCCTAGGTCAATATTGGACCCCCAATGGTCACTTGATTTATGTAGACTTATATAGGAAAACACATTTAAGTCTTATTGCGTAAAAATACAACAAAGTCCAGAGCTTAGATTTTTAGCACGTATCATTAATTTGTTAATGTATACTAAAGCTAATTATGACCCACAGGTCAAAACTGGCCCATTCTCGGGATTCTTATGATACTGTATGACCTCCAAGATGGAGTCAAGTTTTACCCTTGGTGCATGATTCATACAACATTTCTAGAGGACTACTAGGCAATGCTATATGCCACTACATTCGGCGGTCATATAGTATCATAATGATAATTTAAATAAAACATTTTTCAGACACGTTTCTTAATTGGGTCTCATCCCTTACTGAAAGGTTAATTTTGATTACTCAAACAAAATACATTCGGGTGTATGTTTCCACGTCCTTGAGATTCTGTTGTTTAGTCAAAAAATAAAAGTGAAACTGAATTTATAGAGTACATGTCGTAAGGTTAGACTCTAATGATTGTTTATTTCAAACTCGCTTTTTCATGTATAGGACCAATAGCATAATAACTATTTAAATTAACTTTCAATGACATAGGTATGTGAAATTGTCGCATTGATTTGTGTTTTTCCATGAGATGTGAGTAATTATATTTGACGCTTATCTTACATTTTATATTCAGAATTAAATATTATATATTGATGCCTTTCATATACAGATCCGTATATGTCATTTATATATAAAATATCACTGCTATGTACAATCAATTTATAAAGTTAAACAAAACACATATTAACGGCTATATTATCATAATGAACTGGTAATACCTTTAGGAAAAATTAGGTCATTATATGCAATGCTTTCCAAGTAAGAACATTGTCTTGTTTGTTAGATTCTTCTATGTATCAAATTATCTTAAATGTAATAGATAAAGATACAGAATGCGATTCTGGTCTCATAGCAACAAGAGTTTGCTTCTACTAAATGGTATTTTTACATCTTTAATTTACAGGAAATAATTGAAATTATAAAAAGATAAATGAGTAACTATAAGCACAAACGATTCTTTCTAAACTTTATATATATATACAAAATGGCTTTATTATTTATTTATTTATTTTATTCATTTATTTTTTTCTTTTTTTTTTGGGGGGGGGGGCTGATACAATTCAATTCAAAGGTAGTTTAGGCATTTTTGCAAATGTTTAATATGTTTTTTATTTAACAGGTGGAACAATAGATACTACAGTCCATGAAGTCCAACATAATGGTACTGTGAAAGAAATACAGGCTGCAAGCGGAGGCGGTTGGGGTTGTACTCTTGTAGACCAGGCGTTTGAAGAGCTGATCATTGATTTAGTAGGAAAAAGCGTTTATCAAGAATTCAAACAGGAAAGTCCGGATGACTGGCTAATCCTTTTGCGCGATTTTGAAGTGAAGAAAAGAACAATGAAACCTAAACAGGAGACAAAAGTTGTCATGAAGATACCCCAAACTCTTCGTGAGCAGTATGAAAGTAAATTCCGACAAAACTTTAAAGAGGCTGTTGAATCATCTTCATATGCTGAAAATATTACATTTGTGGCTGACAAGATGAAGTTTGACGCAATCGTGTTTAAAAAGCTTTTTGATGTTGCATTAGCTAAAACAATACAGCATACGGAAAACCTCATTAGAGATCCAGCCGTCAGAAACATTAAAGCCATTTTAATGGTTGGAGGTTTTTCTGAGTCGCCTATGCTCCAAGAGAGGGTGAAATCCTGCTTTCGTGGCATTGATGTAATCATACCTAAAGAAGCATCATCGTCGATATTGCGGGGAGCGCTTATCTTTGGACACAGTCCTACTTCGATCTCAGAAAGAGTTCTGAGGTATACTTATGGTGTAAGTATATATACCCAATTTATAGAAGGCAAACATCAAGAAATCAAGCGTGTAATGACTGATTCGGGACCTAAATGTAGGGACGTGTTCAGTAAGCATGTTGAGAGAAATCAAAAAGTTAAAGTAGGAGAGCCGCAAGTTACAAAAACTTACACAACAGTCCACAGGGATCAAAAAGCCATGGCATTTCCCATATTTGCGTCAGAGATGAAAGATCCCAAATATACTGATGTAGGTTGCAAACTCATAGGGGAAATGAGGATAGAACTGCCAAACCATGATGGAGACTTGTTGCGTGAAGTTGAAGTGAGCCTTACATTTAGCGGTACAGAAATTGAGGTGACAGCTCGAGATGTAAAAACAGGGAAATTAGAAAAAGGGTCCATTGATTTCCACGGGTAATCAGTGAACAGAAAAAAAACAATTTAAAGTCAAAGACCTGCTAAATAAGACATGCATAATTAAAAATAATTAATGAAATAAATCAAACTCTGTAAGAATTTAATATTGTGTTGAACTATTTTGAGATGACAAAACTAGTTATATTATATAGTGTGAATGCTTTAAGACCCGTAAATAGTGGAATTAATATAACAATTGTGCAAGAATGAATTTCTGAAAACATGTTTAATGTTTTTGCTTAATTAACAAGTATCCGTGTTTTTTTAATAATCAAGATTATTAATTGCAAATTTATCCTGATATTACACATTGATATTGTATAATAATTATAACTTGAAATGCTGCATGTGCACACTACAAGTGTTTAACAAATAAAATGTTTATGTGCTTGAAGGGACTCCACTGAGTTTTTTTGACATGATGGGACTGAAAATATTTTTTCCAGATAAATGTACCATTTGATGAAGGTTTAGACCACTAATTTTTGTGCAAAATTTCAAATCATTCGCGCACTTCGTTTTACCAGAATAATTATTCAAATTGTAAGAAAATGACCCAACATGAAAAGCGTTTAAAGGCTTTTTACTAAAACGGGGCTAAGAAAGGCACAAAAATACGGTTTTCAATTTATTTCAAAGTATATTTCTTAACTATTTAGTCTATCTTTGCATATATTTTTGTTTAAAGTGCCCCAGCTCATTAATGTAAGGAATTCAAATGTTATGCTTTTAAGCTTTTAAACCTCAGTGGAGTCCCTTTAATAAAAAGATTTGTGAAAATGTGTGTTTAATGAGTTAAATGGGCTGTGTTTTATTACTCTTGTAATGCCTTGGAATGATATACTCGCAACACGATATTTTAAGAAAATTGACGTAACGTTGTACAAAATGAGGGAAATTATTTTTTTCCATTCGATTTGTAAAACATAATGTAGCCCCTCTAAAATTGCCATGACGTACCTCTGCGTCAATGTGTTATGTAAATAGACTTTATTTTAAATGTGTGTTAGTGGCTATTTGCTGAATAGCTCAGTAGGTAGAGCGCAGGACTGACAGTCGCGATGTCGAAGGTTCGATACCTACTCATGCCACCATCTTTTTTAATTATTTTTTATTTAATCATTTTAATGTTTATATAATTTTTCATGTTCATTCATCTTCTTTCAAGAAAGTTCTTTTCATGTTTATTCTGGAATATTTTTTCTCAAAGTAGTTAAGTATTCTTGATTGTTCATTGATTGTATATATAATTATGATGAATGTTTGTACTTCGAAGTGTGTGCTAATTTGTGCTATTGTGTAGATTGAGTGCTATTGTACTGCTAACATAGTAATTCATTTGTTTGGATTCTGTTATTCTGTGTGGGAAGTGATTTGAACATATTGTATTTATTCTACTGTGGACAATGGACATTGATTAAATTTGAGTTGTGGACAATTGAATTTCGAACTGTGAGTTAAACTTTAGGACATGTGTTAAATTTGAAATTGTGGACAATTGTGAGTTAAACTTTATTTTCATATTTCTTTTGTATTATTGTAAATAACTGTTTTTCTTTAACTAAAAACTGTAAATTTGTTGCTTTATCTTCTCTGTTGCATTTAGCTCGTAACCAATGCGAGCAGCTATTCGAAATAAAGTTCTATCAGTATGAAGGTAATGAGGTATCCTAAAAAAGCGGTACCAAACATCACGTACTTGCTTTTTGGGATATAACACAAATACAAATTATGCCAAAACCCTGTGTACAGTTATTTTGCGTTGTAGTATTTTTCGGCAAACATTAAGAATAACTTTGAATTATTTTTCGCCTTTTTATTGGTTTTTTTTAATGTTTTCTTTATATTCGATCTGTAAGGGACACTATCTATCAGATCATTAAAACCATCTTCAAAAAGTGACTTATACCTCATGTTGACATGCATTCTTGCATTTAATATTATTTGTGACGATGATCCAATGAAAATGTTCTCGGATTACAGGAGTTTTATTAATTGAAATACTCATATAAACTTAAAACATTAATAGATATTGACTGTGCACTGGCATTTTACTTTACAAAAACCGAAAATTTAACTGATAAGAAACTACAATGTGTCATCTTTTAAAACAGTAAATATAATGTTACATTTTATTTCATAAATGGGATATTTGATATTTAGTATCACAGTGAACTATGGAAACCTTAAATAACATGTCAAATGAATGTCTTAGACTTGTTTCAATCATACAATATCTATAATATCTATTATTGTAACTTCCAGTTTTTTTCAAGTCACATGACTAGTTTTAAAACAACTCAGTGATTCTGTCGGCGGCTAAATATTGTTCAAAATATATAGATATATTTACGCTTCAAACCCAAAAAATATAGAATTTATACAGAAATTCTGCCGGGGCATTAGAAAATGTCATTTTAGCATTTGAGTACACAAGATCAATATAATAATTGTCAATTATTTGCCTGAGTATCCCTTTAAAATCTTAGTATTATCTAAAGAACTTCAGACATCGTTGTAGTGGTTAAATTACATTACATTACCTTACATTAGACGTTACACGAGAAGAAAGAAAATATCAAAATTATTGGCGAGTGAGCGTCGTCGTCTTTTATGGAATGCTTTGTTTTTTGACCCATGGTAGCGGCTATCATTATTAGCAGTTAATGTCATGTTGTGTTAATTAGTTTTATTTTGATTAATAAAAATCAAATAAACAAATATGTTGTTATATATGTTTTAAATAACTTTATTTAAAACGCGTGTGAATTGTGATATTTATTTTCATGGAATTGCAAGCTCAGTTTAACAGCTTATCCCTAGCTTTATTGGCAATACTGAAAGCCAGATTCCAAATATCGTTCTGGTCTACATTTATGTCAAATGTATTTTTGTTTTGTGTTATTTATTTTAGATTTAGATTTTTTAATAGTTTTCACTGTTTATTCATTTTTGTTAATTATGCATTGTTTATTGTTTTGTTATATATACTGTTATTTCGTCAGCAATTTTAGTTTAAGGTGGTCTGTGAGGTCAGAGAGAGGCTTTGTTAATATATTTGTAAATTATATATATATATATATATATATATATATATATATATATATATATATATATATATATATATATATATATATATATATATATATATATATATATATATATATATATAAATTTTCCTACAAGAAAAACGTCCACATGGTAATTAGTATAAGGATTGGTACTGGAACTGTTGCAGACGATTATTATATATATTTTATCCATATTACGTTTATCTATTGCACAGGGATTGATTGTTTTTATGAAGTGCACCCGTATCCGGATGTTGAAAGCTATCCAATGTATCTACTGCTATCTCAAATGGCCATCTAACTTTTTATGAATACTTTTTTACCATAACTTTCCATGGCTTTATAAGACTGAGTCTGCTACATTTTATGATGATTTTGCTGCTTAGGGCGTTCTTTTGGTTTTCAGGTTTTCTCTATTTTAAGGGGAATATGTTTACCAAATTGTTTTTTTTCCATGTCTATCTTAGTCATTGCATACTATTTTTGCTGTATATAAACAGTATGGTTATTGGCAGTAGGCTTTACAGGCTGTAAAATAACTTTCTTTTTATATTTTTTTTTGATAATAAGAAAAATGAAATATTTACCAGTTGTAAGTTCATCAAAAGACTTTTTTGACTGGCTTTATATACTGGATTTTTCTAGTTTGATTAGTTAGAACATATCTACAGGTATTTTGCTACAGGAATATACAAATCACTATGTGAAATTATTTATTTTTTCTATTTGTTTGTATTAAAATTGTTAAGTAAAGATAACCTATGGTTAAAATGAAAGGTAGAAAAATTAAAGCTATGCATACAGACGCTTATGCCCATGTTTTAGTGAAAGAGAGAATGGATAACATCCTTAGGTTATCTATGTATATACAGTTATTTGTTTTAATAAAGTCTAAGAGGGACAGTATTTGTTACTCTAAGAGATACAAGTATGCGTTTAATGCATAGAAACAACCCAATCTTTAAATGTTATATAGACCATTTGAGATTTCCTTTTTTTACTTATTATACTATACATTATAATAATTTTCTTTCTACTAGATTTTGAATTCCATCCAATTACCAATGTTAATAGGATTTCATATCTATTTAATAGATACTGGGAAGTGTTAAAGTTACACACATTTATATCTCTAGATATGATGAGACTATAATATTTCTGTATTTAATGAGTTACAGTTATAGAATTATTATTAAAGGGATGAGACTTACATTCACCTTTATCAATGATAATACATGTATTGATAAGTCTACATGTTATAGGTTTATACCCAGGGTTAAGTGGTTTATAATTCTATTAACAATAGTGTTAAAGGAATATTATATGCCTTACTTTAGGAGAGCTTTACTTACTGTATTTTTCAAAGTATTTTATTTTTCTGATCTTGTGAGATAAAGCCGGTATGACCTATACAGGTAAGTTAAATTAGTGTCCATTACCAGCGATGACAGGGTCCGTGGTGGAAAGCAACCGGACGGTTGCATGACAATAGAGATATACATCCCACACTCTCTCTCTCTCTCTCTCTCTCTCTCTCTCTCTGCTATTACATTATAGGTCAGTACTGGTCACTAAAGGGGAAAAAATGTCCTTAAACTTGGATCAAGCAATATAATTTTTAAAGTCTCAAAAATATCATATTCTGAATTGTTATTTTGGTTATTTCTAACATGTTTATAGTTTGAAAAGGAAAGCCCCTGTCTTTTGTTGTAATGGTTGGACACTAGTCTAAATCCGCAGGTCTCGGGCATAACCAACACGACTACAGACTTTTCATAGTGTAGATATTTGCGTGCACTTGAATAGATTTGTGCACTTAATTTTTTGTTGGCTGATTTGTGCCACATGAAAACCGACAAGTACGAAAAAGGAACCGGGCGCCAGACGAAAATATGAAAAGACCACAAAGTGGTTCCTATATTGTATTTTCATGTTTTCGCTCGGTGCTCCCCCTGATTAAAAAAATACATGACACAAACCAGCAATCATAGAATTTCTCTACTAGAAAAAAGGTTGTTTTTTATTAGATATAATACATGTATTAGTACAGTTATTTTTCACTTTAAATTGACCTGGTATTAATTATGCGATTATCAATAACTGTGTCATCCCCTTTTAGTAAAAAAAATATATATAAATGTATAAATTGTTATTTTAATTAAAGCCACTGCCCTCCAGATAATAAAATGCGAAAAATGAAATAAAATTTCAAGTAACCGATTAATACTGATGTAGTTAGGTTTACTGTTTAAATTCATTATTACTGACACCTTAATTCAAGTAAGAATTTGGACAAAGTCGTCAATATCGCGTGTTTTTCCTTTGCATAGTCTACTACGTTAATAAAGTAGTAGCCAATATAAATGGGAGAAGATAATTCATTTACCACGTCACGTGTCACAACATTGGTCCGAAAAAATCCCGCCCGGAGTCGTATATCAATTTTCGTCATTGAGTAGGCCCTAATCATATATCAAGCTAAAGTTTAAATCGATAAGTTGGTCATATATATATGATAAAATTGGTAAATTATAGTTTATTACTATAAATATCAAAAACAAAGCAGTTATTTGTTTCCCTTTATGTTTGATACGATCCCTGATTCCGTGCGTTCCGGATCACAGGTCGCGATATTGTCCTGTACAATCACAGGGTACTAAAAAAACGGATGAAAGAATTCCCTTGAACGTAGTTTCCGTTGGCGAAAAAGTGAACTGTTTGTTTTCAAAGCAATCATGTATAAATATGAACAATTTGGAGTGTCATTTCGATTTCCAATAACTATACATGTATAATGCTGTTGAAAAGGGCATTTGAAAAATTAGTAAGACGGCAGTTTTTCTGTTATCTTCTGGAGACCTGCTGCTTAAAGACTATGAGTATGTAAGTTTTTCTTTTTCTTATTTTTATTTGAAAACATAGTCTTTTCATGGGATGCTCGGCTTGATTTAAAGTGTACGTAATCAGGAGACATCGCTTGATCATCTGGGACACTTAAAACAGAAAAAATTGCATTTAATTTAGATGATTAAGAGATATACCCAGAAATATAAATAAATCGTTGCAACGCTTTTCAATTTTGTGTCATTTTTAACAAGTAGAATACTTATTTTGGAAAAAACGGAACTAGCGAATGATCTGAAATTTTGCTCACAAGTTTTCGGTTTAGACCTACAAAAAATGCAACATCAATCTCGAAAAATTATTTCCAGTCCCGTCATGTCAAAAAATTCCCTGACACATTTTGTGTACTTGTTATGAAAGACAATATAACTGTAACAGAGATGATGTGCATGGTAGCTTGCGACATGATTAAGTTTAAAATAAAGAACATTATATAATGGGACCAAAGTAAAGATCAAGTACAGATAATTTGTTATCTAACCAATAATATACTCTATATAGAAATAAAGCCAATTAAACATGAACCATGTTCCTCAAAAATGAACCCAGTGCTCCAAATAAGGCAGATACTTAAGATAAGGAGCCTAAGTTGACATTTCAAAATCCACACTACTTTTAAGTGTACACATTTGTGACATACTTCCATTTCATTTTGATAGCCAAATCATGTTACTCCGTATATTTCTTTGTTGTTTATCATTCTTTATAGGAGGTAAGAAACGATTTCTTTTATATACAAAACAATTTTTTTAGCAAGTTGGTTTATTCAAGATGCCTTAATTGACGCTTGAGCATGTCAATGGTTTTGGGATTGATACATGTTTCGATCTATTACTGAATAAATATGTCAGCCTGCTTAACTTAACATTGAGAACATCGGATAAGTACTCCAGGGGTAGCTAGTCCAATCCTCCGGCGAGCCGTTATTTGGGCGTGACAATTGCTAGCGTTTTCCTCTCACCGCTGATTCAGAAGACAGGCACGAGTATCGGACCTGGGAAGAAAATCTGACCACGTCTTAAATGTGTCCAAAATATATTATAAGTTAAGAAAAGACCGGAAACTCGGACAGATTCGAGTCTACGATCAAGAGGGTTCACTTCCCGGGACGTTGTGAAATCAATTGTCCAGTTGATTAAAACACTTTTATCACTATTTCACTTTTGTTTTAAGTTTCCAAATGAGAACGACCCCAAGTCTCTATCGCTTCCAGTTCATGAAATGGCTATCAGCAAACGAATGATCTGGGAATCATCGGGGAATGAACCCCTTGCTCGTAGACTCGAATCTGGAGTTTCCGGCTTTCTCTTAACTTATAGTATATTTTTAAGGGGGCTCATATTTCGCTTTTTTTTTGTTTTTTGACACATTTAAGATGAAGTAGGGTTTTTTATCAATGTAGTCAGATTTTCTTTCCAGGTCCGATACTCGTGCCCGTGATTCAGAAATCATGTTGGATTAGAGTAAGAACAGTTACATAATTACTGGTTTGTTATTCAGGAAAGCCGGTTTGGAGGATTGGCCGCCGTGATACGACTAAACCACGTGAAAACCAGAAAAAAAAAAAACAGCTGCACAAATGTGTCAGATTCAGATAACTTATAGTTAAACCGCATCAACGCAATATTAGAATCAACGCAATATTAGATAAATTATATCAACAGCAGGTTTGATCCTTTATGGGTTTAATGTAAGTTACATATTTAAAAGACTTTGTATAGTTTGAATGAAGAATCATACTAAAATCCATCGTAACAACTTAATTCACATTTAACTTTTCAGGTGTTTCCTCTCAAACCACTCAATCAATTTACACGGAATATTTCTGCAATAATTTAAAAAACGACGACTGTAACAATCATAACGTTTCTGAAAGATGTGGCACCGATAATATTACCTACAGGAATGGGTATATGTTGTTTTCATTTGTCTTTTGGATGTCAATGTAAAATAATTGGTATACCTATGCTGTTTTCATTTGATGTGAAAAAAAACAAAACGAATGGATATATATATTGTTTTAACTAAGGCGTAATCATACATATATTATATCTATGATATGCCATATAAGTGCATAATATTTTCAACGCATATTTTATATTTTAAACAAAACGTCGCAATAACACATTGTTAGTCACGTGGTGACTCTCCTGCTTTTCTGACAGAGGTAAACCTCCGAATGCACTTTGTGCATTATTTCAGGCGCGAACGTGCACCTAAGTAGGACCATCGGCGTTCCATAAGCTAGTCTAGACGGATAGCAACCTCACTTTATCAATGGCAGGATGGTGAGGGTCATGTAGTTTGAAGTCACTTATTTCCCTGTAGTTTCGATGTAATAGATAACAGCATAAGTATCGATACAAACTTATGTGGCCCATTTTTGTAATCAACAAAACATGTCTCTTTTATGTGGTCTGTACACATACTATATGATTGGACATTTTAACACTTTAGGTCGTATCATAGACATTCGATAGAGGTTTTTCTTCAGTTTTTAAAAAGAGTTTCATTACAATGCAACCAGCATTGAAAAATATTAATATATTCATTGGACCTCTACAAAAAGAACGCCGAAATTGCTCTAATTATCCTGTATTTAACAATGTACTATTTTGTCATTGCAGCATATTTAAATCGGAAATGATTAAAGATGTAGCTACATTAAATTTTATTTACAAATGTTTAAAAATATATTTTCACAGTCTTGAATCTGATTATTAAAAAAATTAAAATATCAAATTGTTGTTAATAAAAGTGTCAGAAAAATATTAAAAGCACCAAACAAATATGGTGTATCTTCATGTAACACTGCTATTAATACATCATGCTTTAATAAAACATACTGTAAATAACTACTTTCAGTATCATAAAAGCAGATGAACAAGGGCCCTGAGCTTAATGACCACATTGTCCTTCGGAAACATTGATTCCTTTGTTGTCTTTAGTGTTGAAGATTGAATAATGTTTCAGTCATAAAAACAGTGTATTAATAACTTGTAATTTATTTACATAATAAAACATGTAGTTTTAATTCTTATCAACAGATGCGAACTTGCAAAGGCGTATTGTATCAAAGATATCCACCAGGCACATATGGGAAAATGTACAAGTGATCCAAATGTAACAAGAAGTCCTGACGAAGTTAAACATGGCAGTGAGGTAAGTTAAAAGTCATACCTGTAATATAACATATTTTTTTATCACATACCCGTGCCGCTTTTGCGACTGCATAAAAATGGTATAGCACGGACGTGCATATATTGTTCAATGTGACGTTAAACAAATAAAGTATTAAGACTAGTGTAAAGACGGGTTAAATGTTAGAGTTACACTATAGGTGCTTAAATTAAAAATAATTCTTTTTTTAATTTAAACATTCTTCATTTTGGTTGTGTGATAAGTAGAATATTACAGTCGTATAGGCTCATTAATGAATTTATTGAACTCGCCAGAGGCTGGCATAATACAATTTTATTCACTGCGTTCATTCAATATCCTCTGTATATAAAATACTTATAGCGGGATTTCATATTTACAATTTCAGTTGCTTCAAAAATAATTCTATCATCAGCGGTTTCTTTAAGTTTTAAATATGGATTCGAAATTTTTGAAGTCATCTAGATCATAAATGAAATTCAAGCATTCATCCTATCTGTTATTCTTTACAATGACAATATTTTATACGAATACGTAAAAAGTGTATGGCTTTGGTGAAAAGTCTGTGACAGTCCAGCGGCAAGAATGTAGCATGAAAAAAACTAATGTTTATGTTTGGTTGTTAACTGGTTAATGTCATATAATCTGTACCGTGGAACCTTTCAATTGTTCGTACCTTTATTTAAGGATTTACTTTTGAAATTTTCTATGTGAAGAACAGAAACATAACAAACTGAAATGAAAAAAACAAAGCAAATTTAGTTAGGAAGTTGAAGTAAGGATAAAAAATGTAATACTTTCCTTAGCACAGACTCAAACTTGCATGGAATTTAACTTTGTTGGACGCTTTCAGTTATTGTACACTTAGTTATTGATAAAAACTGTATTTCTAACCGATTTCAAATATGTTTGTTTCATGCTTCTTTTTTATCTTTTTTTAGCTAGCGTACGAGATCGAATGTGTACGCTTAATGCATATAAACTGTGGTCCACAAGATCTAAACGAAGTATGCTGTGGTTCTGACGGATACACTTATGATAATTTGTACGGTTATTTTTTATGCATTGTATTGCTTTGTATAACAAGAAATCGAAACCCAAGTTAAAGCGTTAATAACTTTTAGCATTTCGTGAAAAACTATTACATTTATTGAAAAGAGAAGAAGAAAAGAAAATATCATGTTAAAAAGTTACCGTTGACATTTCAACAACAATTGGTCCGCTGAAATTGACATGGACATTAATTGTTTTTAAAATGTTAACTAATTTAAGTAGTACTCCATTTTGAAAGATTCCATCTTATCTTTGTAGCAGCAATTCACATGAAAGTTATATATGTATATATCGACTTTCACGTGATCTTTAAACAAATTAAGTGCATATAACAAAGTATGATCTCATATTTACCCAAATGAAAATTCTTGTCGTTATGAAACTCTTCATTATGATGTTGAAAAATCTTAGATATTGTTTAATATGGCATTTATGAATTAAGATTTCTTCAAAGTGACAGTCAAAAAATCTTATTGCTGTTGTTTGTTTTTGGTTTTTTAGTTGTTTTTTTTGTGTTTTTTTTTTTTTTATTTCATTCTTTAAAAAATAGTGAATTAATTGAAAATTGTGCAACGTCAAAGGAAGCAACCGATGCAACTTGTTTGAACATGTAATCTTGACTAAACTTTCTGATTAATGATAACATCATGATTGGAAATTTTGCATTTGAAAGCTATACTTTGTGTAATCACTCATATTTATATGCTTATTTTCAGTTGCGAGTTCTCCAAAGGTAAATGTACACACAGGGATCTTCATATCAGAAGTCTTGGCGCATGCACAGTTTAGATGTTTCTTATTTGATTTATTGTTGTATACTGGTGTATGTTACATAATAAAAATTACATGAAATGTTAAAGATAACATTTGTTATGCTAAAAATATCAATTTATCAATGTAAGAATAAATTAGCTATGTACAAAACAATATCGATATAACAGAGATAGGCAACTTTCTAGCCAGTTAAGATAATTATCAAGTGTGCTTACTAAACTTAAAACTTGTAGCAAGTAAAACATAAAAA